AAGTGACTCAGCACCCCGCCCTCTGCGGGGCCGTTACCCGGGGTGCAGGGGGTCCCCATGCAGCACCCCCAATCCCCCCCAAACCCCATCCCCAAACCTCATCCCCGCGTCCTTCAGCCGACCTTGCCCCATCCTCCTCCCCCTACCCCCCCTCTGTCCTCCATGCACATCCCCGCCCCGCCGGGCGCCTCCCGGTGCCGCAGCGCCCGGCCCTGGCGCTCACCCGTTGACTCCGACTTTCACCATCTTGTCTCGGGGGGGTGGGGGAGAGATGTTCCTGCGGGGACAAAACCAGCCGTCAGCCCTCGGGACTCCGCACCCCGCGATCCGCCGCCCCCTCAACGCCCCCCCAACCCCTATTAACGCCCCCCCACCCTATTAACGACTCCCCCCCCACCGCACGTTCTGATCCCGCCCCCAACCTCCCTCCACTCCCCCCCCTCCTTCCCCACCGCCTCCATTTTGTGCCTTTGTGCCCCCCACCCCAGCCCCTCACCCTCCTCCCCTATCCCCCAGCGGGGCTGCAGTGGCCACCCCCCCCCGCCTCCTCCCCCACCCCCGTTCCCCAACCCACCCCCCCCAAAACCCACAGCCCCCCGCCCCCAAACCCAGCCCCATCCCGTTACCGGCTGCCTCCGCTCGGTGCCTGGCGCGCAGTGAGGAGGTGGCCGGGGGCCCCTCCGCCGCCCTTTATAGCCGCCGAGGCTGCGCCCCCCCCGCCCCGCTCCGCCCCGCTCGGCCGCCGCCGAATGGCAGCGCAGGGGCCGGGCCGGGGCTACGTGCGCCCAGCCGGCGGCCCCCGCAACAAAGGGACCCCCCCCCCCCAAAAAAAAAAAAAATAGCGATGGGGGGAGGAGGAATGGGGCCAGGGTCTCCAACGCCATGTGTGGTGTGATGGGGGGGGGGGAGCTGTGTGTGTGGCGGGGCGGACAAAGCCCCTCGTGGTGGTGGTGGTGGGGATAGGGACAGGGGGGTTGGCACTTGGGGGCTCCCTGCACACAGCATGGGGAATGGGGGGGGAATCCTCGTGGTAGATGGGCAACAAAGGAGAGGGTTGTGCTGGGCTGCTGCCTGCTTCGCTCCCCCTGCTTGGGCACATGGCAGCAGTGGGTCCCCCAAGCCTCCCGCACCGAGGGAGAAGCAGGTCGCCATGCCTGCTCCTTGCCATCACAACATGAATAAGGATGGCTGCTAGTCCCCACTCTGAGGGCCCCCCAAGCCCTTTCTCTGTCCCCCCTGCGTGGTTTTAGCCAGGCCATGCTCTGAATGCGGCTGCCTGCCCAGCAGGCAGCGCGGCACACAGCGTGAGGACCATGGTAATGAGGAACTGCGGCGCTGCTGCTGCTGCTGCTGCTACCCGCGGGACGTGACGGCGGAAATCCTGCCCATCGCCCCGGGAGAGCTTACGGCAGTGTGCCGCCACCACCTTGGCCCGCCTTTTGCCGGCCGGCTGGGTTTGGGGTGTGTGAAAAGGGAGTGCTCCCCGCGTGACAGCCACCGTGGCCCTACTGGCACCCCACGTGCTGGAGAGGCTCTCCAAGCTGTGCCGTGCTGGCTCGGCGTGCGCCGCTGGGAAGCAACAGGGCTGGTGCAGCCCAAGCCGGGGCTCTGTGGGACAGACCCACGCTAGGCTCGAAAGCCTCCATCCCTTGGGAGGGGGGTGCCCAGGGAGCAGGCACCTGGAACATGGTGCCTGAGAGGAGATGGGGGGGCAAGGAGAAAGGTTTGGGAAGGCATGGGATGTTGGCTTGCAGATGTGGAGGGCCGAATTGGCTCAGCCAAGCAGGACTCCAGCTACGCTCGAGGGAAGAGTAGGGGGGGTGGGTGCCTAGCAAGGGGTCACACATCTCGTACGTAACCCAACTCTCCTTATACAGCTGCTATTCCCGGTGCACCGAGGGGCAGGCGGCTAAGTTTAGCCCCGGCCGAGGTTACGACCTTTTCTTAAAGGCCAGGGGGGAAGAGCTGCTGCGGGATAGCTGCAAGGGGCGCGATCCCTCGGCGGGGGGGACCCCCCCTGCATCCCCCCTGCACCCCCCCCTGCACCCCTTGCACAGCAGCCGGCCGCGGGGTCGGGGGGAGCTGCCCGGGCACCCCCAGCAGGCACGGGAGGCGCCGTGTTTGCTCAGCAAACACTCGGGCAGCCCAGCTCCCCGCGCAGGGGGGCAGAGTGCGGGCGGGATGAGCCAACGCAGCGGCCCCGTTGCCCCCGAGCGGGGCCCACGATCGATATTTCAGCCTCCTGGCAGCGGCCCCGCAGCCCCGGCCCCGGCCCCGGCCCGCTGCGTGCCGCCCGGCCCACCCGGAATGGCGGCGGGCGCCCAAAATGGCCCCGCGCCTGGGGGCCGCGCCGCCACCGGGGCTGGGGCTGGGGCTGGGGCTGGGGCCGGGGCCGTGCCGCGGGCTCTGCCGCCACCTCCCGGTGGGCGAGGAGGTGCCGTGGTCCCCCCCCCTCCCAAAAAAAAAGCACAACCCTTAGGGCTGAGCGGGGTTCCTCTCGCGGGGTGCCGCTGAGCCCAGACACGGCGGTTAATTAGCTGTGTTTAATTAGCGAGTCCTCACGCGCGGGGAGCGGGCAGCAGGAGCGCCGTGCGGCTCCTCCGCACTCCCGGCCTTCAGGGCTGCAGCCGCTGCCTTGCCGTGCTCCTTCCCCTCTGGTCCCGAGCTGCTCCTCCGAAGGCTCCTTCTCCACCTGCGGACAGGCATGGCCGGTGAGCTGCCCAGCAGCCAGGCAGCGGCTGTGCCCCACGTCCCCCACACAGCACTGCCATGTCCACCCTCATTGCGTTCACCCCACCAGCACTCAGCTCATTTTGCCCCACAATCCACCCTGGGGCCAGCTTTCCCCCCCTCACTCCGCGCCCTCCCCGCAATTCATGCCCTGAGGTCTCCCCTTACATTTGCTGACCCCTCACCGCCAGCCCGCTCACCTCCAGGTCCCTGCAGGCCTAACACCCCAAACCACTGAAGGTCCCAATCCGGTCCAGTTTCAGCCCAAAGCAGCCCCTGGGCACGGCCTTCCAGGCCCAGTCTCCAGGGAGTGCCCACTTGCGACTGGTGAGGGTCTTGCGCCAGAGCGGGGCGCGGGCAGCTCTGGCCCCAGACGGGAGGAACGGGAGGGTGGAGGAGAGCAGCTGGGGTCCCGAGCTGGATCCCTCCTCCTTTGTGTTCTCTTCTTCGGCCTGCGTGGATTCGGAGTCCAGGGGCAGCAGCTGGGAAAGGAGCATCTGGGAAGGCGGATAAACAGGGAGGGGATGGGGTGACAGCGAGGTGCCTGTGCTCCTGTTTCTCACTTATCAATCCTGGTGATAAGCCTGGCACCCCAAACCCACTGACCCACAGCCCCACACCTTCCCCCGGACTCAGACAGGACATAAAACAGTGTCTGTGCACGAAGCACCCTGTCTGTGACATTGCATCCAGACCAAGGTCACCAAGGGAAGGGCTGGAACTGCAGCTCCCGCTGTCTGAAATGATTTTGCTGCCCAAAAGAGCAGGTAGGAAGCTGGTGTGGGTGTGCCTCTCCGTGCATCCCTTGCCCTGCTGTTGTTAACAGGATTCCCCCCCCACACACTTGAAGATAACCAAAGCTTCCGTCCTTGATCCTTTTCCCAGTGCTGAGCTGTGTGCTCAGACTGTTTCGTGGCATTTTCCAGAGGGCTGGTGGGGAAGCGGGACCTAACCCAAATACTCGGTTCTAAAATAAGGGAGAGGCAGGCATGGCAGTGTCGTGGAAGAAGGCATGAGGAAGGCAGGCGTCTCATCTGCTAGGAAATTCTCTAGGTTTTCGGTGCAGGTGGGCATGTGCTAATTCAATTACACGCCTCCGTCACTGCCAGCCGCCTCCGGCTGTATGGAGACAAGAGTCGGGAGGTACGCTGGGCCTGAGGGGGCACAGCATTCCTGCCCATGGGGTCAGCCTGCAGTAGCTGTTCCACATCTATTCCTCATGTGGATGCTCGCTGACCCAAGGCTGACGCTGCCTTTCTGCAATTTAGCTCGGTTCTGTTCCGCAGTGAGTTAATGGAAGCGGGCACAGACATCTTCAGCGGGGAGTGAAAGCGTCTCCATGGTGAGTCATAGCAGAATCGGTCTCGTGTTTTTAGTTCATCTCCTAACTACTTCCCTGCAGTTTTCCTCATTGGACAGGGTGAATGATGTGAACACAACATGGCAGAGCACAGGGTAGGGGTTGGAAAAAAAGAAGCTGGGTAAATTCAAAAGCCCTAAGTATTGTTTCTGCAACTGGTGAGGGTAAAAGATTTACCAAAATGAAGAAGGCCTTGCTAGCATCCTCTTGGACTAAAAGAGGGCCTACTGTGGGGTATGACTGAGCTTAGGAGTGAAAATCCCAACATCACACGGTGCATTTTCCTTCTGAAATGTCAGAACCAGGCCACTGAGCATAATGGATAACCACCACGTACAGTATTTCTCGCAGATCCCTCTGCATGCCTGCCTGTCACTTAATGCAAGGGACGTGGCTGTGATTTCTGCTGGCTGCTGGCACAGGGCTGAGCTAGATAGATAGGAGTAGTCTCTTTACAGCTAAAAGCCTCTGCAGGCAGTGTGGAGTCCCCCAGTCAGCCTCCCACAGACCAAAGAGCACTAAAACACTTTTGTCTGTTTTCTGCCTTGAAATGCTGGTGCTCCCCAAGGAGCTGGGTTATAAAGATACAGTCATCCTAGAGCTGAGGCTATTAGACTGAAGGGGAAAGAGCAGAGAGAATAGACAGCACCCTTTGGAAGCTGGAATTTGGGCTCACCACTCATCCCAGGTTCAAACACGACCTCCCCAAATTGCCCCTGCTGCTCCTGAAACCTCCCTCAGCTCCATCCCAGCCCCTCCTACCTGTAGCCTCTGTCCTGGTAAGGACATAGCTTGAACGCTGGCTGAGAGCAGAACTAAGAGGAGGAAAAGCGAGCAAGGCCACGACTGCAGCCCCAGCATCTTCTTATCCCAGGGCCTGTGGGAGGTGAGGCAGGATCTGCAGCATCTGTGATCCCTGTCCCCTCCTTGCCTTTATAGCTTTGGTTCTGGCAGGCGCCTGGCCCCCAGCTCTCTGCTGAACTACCCCCCCGGAGCTCCTTAACCTTTCAGCCCTTTTGTCCAGTGGTGATATATTTCAGGGTGAGCTCAGCAAGACCCCTTCCTCTAAAGAAAAAAGACACAAAGGTGTTTACTGAGTGTCTGGGAAGACGAATGTGAGTGGAGCTGCTGCTGGCCAGGACCTGGAGGTGTCTGTTAGGGTCAGAAACAGGGTGAGACTTCAAGACACGTCCTGAAGAAAGGTACTGAAGGTATTGCATTGTGCAGTGGTACTGAACACTCTCCTCTTAGAGTGCTGTTAATGTTATTTCTTTAACCAGTGCGAGCATGAACTACAGCTCATCTGGTGATAGTCACACTGCTCTCTGCAGGAATTGTCACAAATTCAGCTGCATGACAACACGGGCTCTAGTTTTTAATATTTACATGTTGATGAGCCATTTAGCCTGGGAGCACAGAGTCTTGCTGCGGTGGATGTGTGAATTCCAGCACTAACTCTGTGGGATCTGTGGCAGTGACAGGGGCATGGGTCTAAATACATGTGGGCACACAACATAACATGCACGCTGGTTGTCCTGAGTCATTATTCAACGTACACCATCTGGAGGGCTGGGCTGAGTTTCCAGAGGAACCAGCACAGAAAAGAGCTCATCGAGGCTGGACTTGCACTTTCTCAAGCTCGGGCGCACAATGGCAGTGGGACGCCGAGGAGCAGACTCTTACCTCCTAAATCTTCTGGCCATTAGTTCCCCCCCTTTGTTTACCTCTCCCATTTTACTGTAGTTTCTCACCAGCTGAACAAGGCAATGAGGTCACTGTTTGGAGACCAGAGTGCAGAAGTCAGCCTGGGTGTGAAGACAGAAACTAATCAGGAAAGTTTGTTGAGGGAGAAAAGGGGAGGACTGTACCCCAGTACCGGAGCAGTAGTGGTTGTGCTAGGTGAGTTTAATACCTTCAGTACCGTTCTTCAGTATCCTTGCACAAAGCAGTTGGGACAAAACTTGACAGGCAGTGTTCTGCTGTCTGTTATTTATTTGCCTTTTTTTTAAAAAAAAAAGAAAATGAGTCTTTTGCAGAGGTAGCAAAAGTCACAGTTCAGTTATTTGCCCTGCCTTACTTTTCTCCTTCCTTCCCTCCCTTCTCTGCAAGCATTTTTCACCTGTAGATGCAGATTTGTGGGACCCTTTCTTCTCTGCCCAAGGAGCCAGAGAGTATTACAAACCATTTTGCATCAACCCTGTGAAAAGTGAGTGTGGGGCTTGAGTCTGAAGCACTGAAGCCAGAAGCAGGAGAGATTTTGCACAGGTAGGGTGACGTGTGTGGGCATATCCAAGTATATTGACTCCACCATTGCAGCAGGGAAAACGTGTGAAAGTTTCAGAGGGGTGGGAAAAAGGGGAGGGAGGGTGTGAAGCAGACATGTGTTCATCCCACGTGAAAGATGTCTCTGAAAATGTTGTCCTCTACTACCTGATCACATTCTACCATCTTGAAGCAGCTGAGTCAGTCTGTCAGTGTTCATGCTGCTTGCAAGATGGCCACAGCCAGAAAAATCTCAGTTTGAATGCACAGATTCCAGGAGTCAACTGTTTCCTGAGTGAAAGGTAAGAAAAAAACAACAATGATGCTTTGGTTTTGATACAAAATGTGGTGGTGGCTTGGTCTGGCATCCCTTGAATGTGGTAGCTCCCATGCTGCAAGAAGAATGCCAGAAATGCATTTGCAATTGCTGTAAATTCCAGCCCAGCTGCACGCAAACTGAGCGCTGCAGGGATGGATGGGCTCTGAGCTCTCAAGTGACTGGTCCCCTTCTTGGGTCCAGCAAAAGCTGGGCCTGGCAGGAGGGAAGGAGTCACTGCTATCCCATACCAAGCAAGAAACTTAAAGAAACCGTAGAAAATTTAAATATTTTTTTTTCAAATTCTTGCAAATTTGCAAAGCCTGGGTGAATTGCAGGTACTCCTCGACTCAGGTGCACTGAAGCTGCAGCCGCTTTGTCCCAGATCCTTGCTGGGAGTGCAGCGTAACTGAATAGTTGCTCTGTCACGTCCTGGCAATGACTGTGAAGCAAAAAGGCTCTGGCAGACGACGAGTCCCTGATTGCCCCAGTTTTCTGTCTCAAATAGGTTATTGTCCTTCTTTCCTCTCTGGTGCTAACAAGTTTCTTCTGTAAAAACCCTTCCCCCTCTGATGCTGGGACGCTGATTCTAGAGCTTGCAAGACCACCAGAAACGAGGTCTCCTGCTGAATCACAATCAGTCTTTTATAAACAGAATCGCTCAAAGGGAAAGGAGCAGGGCAAACAGAGAGCAGGAGGACTAGGAACTGGGTGAAGCGCTCTGGGAACACCCGTTGGCCCGCGGTGGTACAAAGGGCTGATGGTTGCTGTGGGCTCCAGCAATATTTGTGTCGTTCCAGTAGCACGACGGGCACAAGTCTGGAGCCGCCATGCACTGGAGCCCCTCAGGGAACGCAGACTCCACTGCTGTTGGTACTGACTCATCCCACACGCAGTACAGGCTGTCTCCTTCAGCAGCGACTCATGGTCATCATGGCAACCACAAGCAGAGCTGCTTGTGAGCAGAACGGCAGCGACGGGCTGCTTAAGGTAGCTGTCTCTGTGTAATTTTTCAAACCTCTTCCATCCACAGGACTTTTGTCCATGATACAGAATTGCTGATTCCTCCAGTGCCAGGAGAGGCTGGTGAGGAGAGGGGGATGCTCCACCTGAACAACCTGCAGACAGGGACCAACAGAAACTCCCTATTGCTGAAATACCACTCTCACTTGGACAGGGAGTGCAGTGCCCGTGGAAGAGCAAAGGACAGACTGCAAAGCAGCCAAGGATCCACTGTGCCAGCCCAGTCACTGACTGCCAAACCTTTGCACTGTATTAGGGAGTTGCTTTCCTGAAGGAAGTTTATCTGCTTGTAATGGAAAAGGGCAGTGCGTAGCCTGAAGGTAAGCCAATACTTAGACACGAATTTATGGCCAGCTTGCTACCTCCATTCACACTGGGATCTCCCTCAATGAAGTATTGCCACACATTGTATCATTCTCGTAGGTACAGAAGGTTTACTATGCACACTTGTAATGCCTTGAGCTTAGGCAGGAATCCATAGAGGCTGTTTTTTCTTTTGTTCCCATCTGTGAGTGACGTACAGGGGCTGTGGGTGGTGGTGGAAGCATTGTGTACGGTACGCATGACTTGTATTTGCTGTTGAATGCAGAGCTGCTGCCTCCGTTTCTTGTAGTCTTCACTGAATATTAACGTGGGGGGAGTGGGACAGTATTGCTGTAGCTTTCTGATCTTTGTAGTTCATGCAATTGTCCTGTCCGTACAGGTGTGCTGGATGGGTGAGGGGATTGGATTAGTATTTGGCAATATTACGCAGTAGTAGCTGCAAGGGGGCACATCCCATCCCTCTGGTGAGTCAGGGGACGTAGTCCACAGGAGCCATCTCCATGAATAACGCTGACACGACACCCCATGGGTCCCTTGTTTCTACAAACTGCTAATGTGCCCTGTGTCCAGTCAGGTATTGGCATAAAAAACATTCCCAGGACACTGCAAAACCGTGCACGTTCTGCCACTACTTCTACACAGCGATCAAAAAAATAAACTATTGCAGTCTTTTGTCACTATTTACACAGCCAGACCAGAGGAGAACTGAGCAACAGGCTCTGTTTGCTGGTAAACTGAGGATATGACAACAACTGCAGGAAGAGGTAGGTCCTCAGAGAAAGGACAGGGAAGATCTGAAGGAACCTGCGGACCAGTCTGATTCCTGTCCAGCCAGTCACTAGCCTAAGAAACATCTGCTTTCTAGGCAACTGACAGGTAGGAGGAAGTAACTTGCACTATAGCCCTGGGCCAAATGCCAACGTGCCTGTGAGACAGGAGGTTAAAGGCTGTTTATATGATTAACATTCAGTTAAGGCACTTCTTGTTCACATGACAGTCTAAGGAGTGCCAGGCCTGACGTGAGCACCAAGTATGGCATCTCCAGAAGGGAAGAGGTGAAACGCTTGTCTTATTTGAAACATAACCATAATTCTGCATATATGTATATATTCTTAAACTTTTTGATTTGTGTCCTTATATGTTCTCTACTAAACACTCTAGACAGTCTAAATGAGCCTGTGTTCTCCCCCACCTCTTTCTCTTCCCCCCCCACCATCCCTCACCTCTTCTGTGAGATCTCTTTGAGCTTTGTACAAGAAAAAGACGCGGGTAGCATTCCCCTCAAAGCCATAGCGGGCTCTACAGAGCGAAATCAAACATAAAATGGCATGAACCCAGCAACAGTAGTGGTCCTGTATTCAGAGAATCTGAAAATTTACTTAAAATCACATACAAGATGCAAGAAATGAGCATTTTTTATTCAGGCATTAGTATGCCTGCCCTTTCTCCCATTTTTTGTGTTTGTTTTTTTTTTTTAAATCAGGGCAACTTCCACCAGCAAAGCCAGTGCAAACAGTCAAAACAGGAGTCATGCTTATCACTGCCTTTCTTTGTGGGGATATCTGAAGACAGGTTTGGTCTTCTCAGGCTGCTGCATAACTTCCCTTTTCTCTTTGTTTAAAGCACTACAAGTTTATTGGGTAGTTCAGGCAAGAGAAGACAACTGTGGTATAAAAGGAACTTTATTTTTAGCTTACAGACAGGGGCAGATCGTTGCCTCAGCGTAGCCGTCGGGCTGAAGATCTGGTGATGGGAGTTGTTTTGGTGGGGGTTTCTTCCTCTGTTAATTCTGCTGAAAACTCTAAGAGAGTAAAGCGTGTCAATAACCAGCACTCCCCTACCTCGAACAGAGAAATCTACCACCAGCCCACGCAGTGCTCTGAATCCCTGCACACCCTCTGCTCCTCCCAGAGGAAAGTTCTTGAGGTGCCACGTCTACAGTCTAGCTCCAGGTCTCCACTTTTACCTTTAGACATACCTGTCCAATGACTTACCATCCTCAGAGCTGTTCTCCTCATCACTGGAGAAGGTGATGATAGGTTTTTTGCGTGGACGGCTCTTCTGGGCACGTTTCGGGTTCCGCAACGTGCGAGGCTGGGGGGTGACAAAAGCTTTATCATCATCCCTGTTGGCTGTGCTCAGGGGCTGGCGGCGTGAGCTTGCTGAAAAAAAAAAAAAAAAAGAAAAAAAAAAAGGAAAGGGTGAGGAAAAGTCTCTAGGTGTCTCTGCTGTACTTCAGGATGAGGGAGGAAGACTGCGGTCTCGCAGAAGGAAGATACCTGCTGTTGGCCTTCGCTTGGCTGGCATTGGAGTTTTACTGCCTTCCTGGCACGTCTCTGCCGAATCCAGTCCTCGGTTATGGCAGGCAGACAGCCTCTGCTCCAGCTCTTCAGCTAGAGCCTGGGATAGATGTAACAGGGGAAAACAAAAACACAAAACCACACAAACAGAGTAGGGAAGAAACAGAGAGAAGCATTACATCCATAGCACAGCCACTTCCTACCCCAGAATTTCCATCATGATCTCTGAGAAATTGTTGAGACCAAGGAATAGCCTGTTTAACACAGAGAACAGCACGTCTTTCCAATCATTATGTGTAAAAAGCAGTTCTCCTCGCCTGGACACTTCCCACCATCCTTACTTTATTCTCAGGCTTGCTGGGTACTCTGCGGAATCGAACCAGCACTGCTTGGAAACAACTGTAGACAGCTGGGTCTTGTAGCTTGTCTGCAAAGCAGTCAAAGTTGTCCTGCAGCTTGTGAAGGCCCCGTTCCGAGATGGGAAGCAGAGTAAGGCAGTGGGACAGATCCCGATATTGACGCTCATTCCTGGGAAGGAGAGATTGCCCTTAGCTCATACGAAAAGGGCTGTGCAAAGATGAAGACATCCTACCTAGAACTATGGCACATGGGGATGAGGCATTTTCCTTCTGGTGTTTCTCCCCTTTAGTACATGAGATTTATGCTGTTTTGTTACAGATCTGTTCCAGAGTGCCCTGCCACACCAAGCACTTCACAACAACCACTGTATCCCAGGGACACTGATTTAGTGCCTGTCACAAACACGAAGGCTTCACTGTTAAAGAACACAGTCGTTTGTTTAGAAGGTGTCAGAAGTTAGTGTTGGCTAGTAGGAAAAACACTCAGTGAGGTGAGAACTCTTCTTGAAGGGCCTTATTTCAACTAAAAAACAAAGAAAAAAATGGTTGCTCATTTTTTCATGTTTGAGACTGTCTCAAGCAGAAGCAGTATTTGAAATTCTGTCCTACCTGGCCAGTTAACAGGCATAAAGATGGCTATTTTCATTAATATAGAAAGTGAACAAGCAGTATCTGCTGTGTCAAAGGACAACAAGGTCCAGATTCCAGTGAAAGTTACTATAAAAAATGGATCTAAACTAATATATTTAATATGACTCACTGTGCCAAAATGTGAGGAAGAAACACGAGGTTGAAGCCCCTCTTATTTATGCATACGAAGCAGAGGGCTTGCATAAACACTTTGAGAACGCACTGTCCAAACGCAGACAGAGAATAAAGCTGCAGCATCCCGGTGCTTCCATTTAACATCTCAACAATACTCGGCACACTGCTGTTTAGTACTCCAGAAATCCTACATATGGTGGTTGCAAAGTCTTCTCTGGTAGGCTCCTGTTTAGCCTTGAATGAGAATCTTGCTCTAGTATTACCTCTGGTGTGCACTGAGCTGATCATCTTTGTGGTACGGCAATATTAGGACAGATTAACAAAGGCTACATGTGTCTTACACCCAGAAAGATCTTTACAAGCGTGGTCTGAAGAGCTCACCAGTGTTCCTGGGAGGAAATTTTGGAGAGTCCACTCTCCATTCCAGCTAGGAAACGAAATCCAACTATTTCTGGGAAATATGCTACTCCCTGAGGCAGCTGAGCAGGTCACATGCCCAGGCACTGTGTACAAACGGCCAAGATAAGCAGACACAGCTTTAAACCTCAAGGGCAAAGTCACAGCTACAAAGAAGGAAAACCATCGGAACAGAGGAAAGCTAGGTATGCCAAATCCAGTGGCAGGTAAAGATAACAGTGAAAATATACAGCAACGAGGCAAATAAACTTTTGCTTTTTCTCTTTGAGAAAAAAAGAAGTGTACATTTATGTCAGTGAATTTACCTCTTTGGGAACAGGGAGAAAGGAGCAATGAAAAAAACAAAACAATCAAAGGGGAAGCAAAAAGATACTCCAGATTCATAGGATAGGCTCTGTACTGTATGCTTTGTAATCAGCACCATGAGCAAGGCACACACATCTGTGTGACAGAGCAAGAGCAGCAAAGGAATAAACATCTTGCAGCACAAGCACTCAAACAACAAAACAGAGCCCTAGGCATAGAGTTAGAACTGAACGGCTCATCCACACAGAACAAGGACAGGCCTCTCAACCCAGGCAGGACTAATAAAGAGATTTCAACTCCTCAGTCGAACACGTTAATTTCTTAGTTGAGGTGCCTCTGAAGAAGGACAAAGGTGCATAAAAACCACACTTGGGGTATCTCCTTGTCTAGCTGTAAATAATGCAGATCTAAATTGTCACAAAACCTTTCCCCCAAGATGAGGGGAGAGGGTCCAATCACAATGTAATAAATCTACACAACTTTTGACCTTCTGTTCTTATTGAAGTAGTTTTAAGAGGAAGATGGGGAAAAGAGGAAAGAAAACAACACCTGAATTAGAGGTGTTGTTTATTCTTTTATTCTCTATTTTTCTCTGTTGTTTATTCTGTTTATTCTCTATTCTTTATATCTTAGCGTTTGTGACATGAAGAATATGATGGGAGCCTGTCACCCCCACTGTATAGAAGCTGGTTTCTTCTAACAATTCTTAAGAAACAGACAGACTTACTTGTCAGGAAATTTAGGATTTAAACCCACCTGGCAGTCCGGAATCGCTGACAAAGTTTCTCCACCAAGCTCTCTGTCTGTTTGTCTTTTGTAATATAGGAGAAGAGATGTCTGCAAAGGAAAAAAATAGCAAAGCTGAAAGCCCAGAGAGGAAACCCTGGTTTTGCCTACACAATTGCATGCTTGCAGCTCTTCTACCCAGTGATCAGCTGGGTGGTCCTTCAGACATGAAGACTGGAGAGCCCTGCATGCCTCAGACTCTGTTCAGGAGAAAACGTGTTATATGCTGATGGCTTAAGTAGTAATCACAGTCACTGTTGTGGGACAGCTGCTATGATATAATTAAAACAGTGTGTTTGTCTAAGAGTGTCTGCCTACGATGAAACTAAGAAATCAGCTAAAACAGAGACTCTTGCAGGTCTGGAGTGAGAAGTGCTTATGTCTGCGTGAGGTAGGAGGGATGCTGAAAAAGCTGCAATGTCTACTTCCGAGCAGCTCCTTTCACAGAATCACAGAATGGATGAGGGTGGAAGGGACCTCTGATCATCTAGTCCAACCCCCCTGCCAAGCAGGGTCACCTAGAGCACATTGTACAGGATGGCATCTAGGTTGGTATTGAATATCTCCAGAGAAGGAGACTCCACAACCTCTCTGGGTAATGTGGAATCTTTCCATCTCCCCAACTATGTGCCTTTAGAACCAATTTTCCTCAGCCTGACTTTCAGATGCAGGCTATGAACAGTCAGACTGGGGAGCACAAGTGAAAAGGCATTTTGTTATGTCACTGTAGTTTCTCTTCCCTAGACACGGCACCCCTTTTGCATAAATGTAGTCACAGTCAAAACAGATTTCATTAACTCTCATCCCAGATTTCACATACTTCATAATAGTGCGGAAGGATTCTTCATCTACGCCACATTCAGGATCTGAGAGGCGACTGATCATGTCTGGAAGCAGGTTATAGATGGCGTTACCCTGTGCAGGACACAAGGTTCTACATGAGACACAGAATTATGAAAGACAGCTTGAGACAAGACAAATAAGCATCTCCCCAATCCAAAGTACTGACTGAAAGCATCAGCTTCACAAAACGAGCTGTACACAGCCAGCCAAACCTAGCCAGGGCTACTTTGCTAAAGCTAAGGAGCTTACAACTCCAACTCTTGATTTGCAACAGCTCAGCTCTTTGGCAGAGCTGGATGCAGTTTCTTTCTTTTCTAACCTGGTCACATCCCAGCACAAAAGTGTTCTGATAAAGGAAGCAAACAGCTTCAGGAACTGCCTCCCACCTCGCCTGAAACGACCCAGTGCAGATTCCCTTTCCCACTGCTTTTACGTGGCTTAGTCAAAGCCATTGAGTCAAAGCCATTGCAGAGGTAGGAAACCAGTGTGGTCAGGTGGCTTACTTAGCTTTTAACAGAGCAAACCAAGACTACTAGTAAAGTTTTTAGCATCATTGCAGCCTCTCAGGCAGTAAATCTGAAACTCTGAAGGGCCTGCAGCAGCCTTCATGTCAAATAATCAGTATACAGAGGGTAACACTGCTGCACTGCTGTAGTTCTTAACCTGCTTGGACTGTAACTGCCTCATTTTAAGCAACCCCAAATCACAAAGCCAATGTCAGAGATGATGCACTGACTGAGTCCTAAAGTCAGGGAACTCTTACAAGACCGAAGGGTAAACTGCAGAAAAATCTGTTCCCAAACTTGAACTGGGCACGCAGAAGAAAGTGAGTGGAGAAAAAGCTCTGCTTTGGAGCCTGGTTTCCAATGTGAATGGATGAGGTCAAATTCAACAACATTAGGGTTAAACCAAAACTCACTTAGCAAAATTCCCTTTATCTACCAACATTCAGTCAACACAGAAGAGAGACAGACAATCTTTACACCCCTGACACACCTTCCTACGGACTCTTTCATCATTAACCCAGCCTTCACCAGCCCCCACCAGCCCCCCTCCACTCAGGTGAGCTGAGGTTCCTGATCATCCACTTGCCTTGTTGGAGAGTTCACTGAAAAAGTTCTGAGCCACTCCTGCGATTGTCTCTTCCGGGTCTATAAGCAGAGTCGCCATTTCACTCACTTGGCCTTTCACCTTCACCATGTCTTTGAGGATGAGGTGTGTCATCACCACTCCAGCCGTCTGCCTCACGCTCTTACAGGGGTCCCGCAACCTGACAGAAGCACGCAGTTACCACAGAAGGCAGCCGAGCCTCTCTAAGCCACCAATACCTCTGACAGCCTACCCCACAAGCCAGTTCTCTGTTGTCTCCCTGCACTGATACTTTTAAATTTGTTTTCCTGCATCACTCTCACCTCCCAGAAGCCCAGCGCCACCCTTCCCCAGAGCCCTCATCACCTGCCCACTGCCAGCAATAAGCACAGCGTTACCTGGCATAGAGATGTGGTGTCCATGGCTCCACCAGGTTGGGGAAACGGATGGCCAGATCTCCTGCTGCAATAATGAGGTTGGATCTCACGTCAGGCAGGCTGGACTTCTCCATCATAGTGAACAGCAAGCGCAAGTGGGAGTCACAGAACTCAGAGCTGGTGGGACAGGGTAAAGAAAAGAAGGCATGGACACCAAAACCCAGCCTCTGATACTAGTGGGACCAAAACAACAACATATGTATGAAAGCTCTTTGGTTTTCCCCCCTCTCCAATGCAAAGGAGTTGCAACATTTCTTGTGCTTTAGTACCAGGGAGGTTTAAAAGAGGATAATGGCATTACCTGATCATGCAGAGTTTGCCAAGAGTCAGGGCTGCAGCAGCTCTAAGAGCTGGATCGCTGTAGAGCCCAGGGTTGTTGCAGATCTTGAGCACCAGTGGAACAAAGGCGGAAAACAGGTGCTTTTCTAGAGTGGGGAATGAAGGCAGCAGGTACGTGAGCACTATTTGAGCAGTACTCTTGAAGAACAATTACTCAATTTATCCCAGAATTTCTGGGGACTATACTGACTATACTAACTGACACCAAAAATAACAACTCCAGAGAGGCAGAACAAAGAAAAAGTGCACAGAGAAACTGATACTGAAGAAAAATGGCAGTATTTATGAAGGAAACAGCCCCCCTCCTTCTAGATGTGCTACCCAGTGTACTTTTTCTCTCACTGTAGACAGAACCTGTGCTCTTTAGCAGAGCCACACTTACCATCTAGAAGTTCTGTCTCACAAATACTGTGGATGAGCTCAGCCTCAGTGTCGTCAGCAGAAGCTCCCACCAGGCCCAGTTCCTCTTCCATAGTGGTCTCATTTCCTGTGCTCTGTGCAGAAAGGACAATTGCAAAAGATGATGGGCAACAATAATCCTTTCCTTCGTGAAATACTTCTCTCTTAGAGAAGAGGTGCAAGTCACCAGCAGCATGACTACAGTTTGGAAGAACAGACTGACAGAGAGTTTTATAACCCCTTTTTCCTAAGAATTAAATGAAGCTGTGAAGGGTATCCAGGATTTGCTAGTCCAAATGCCACCAAGTACCAAAGAAAGTCTAAGTTACTGAAGCTAACAAGCTGAGACAGAAATAAGACACACCTGGCAGCAGTGCCCGAGTCCAACACAATTCAAGGGACACACAAATCCTAAAAGCAAGAAAGAAGATCAAAGCAGCCTTTGAACTGGTGGCCTTGTGAGCAAGATTACAGAAACCTTATGGCAAGGAAAAAAAAAACAACACAAATCTGCAGGACCAAATCTGCATCCAACTGCTACTTCTAAGAAAATCTCATAGTAACCTCCCCCCGTGTGGGAAGTTACTGATAAGCAGGGTGGATGAGAAAATGAAGTACAAGTTTCTCTGAACACAGCAGTGTAGGCATCTAATAAAGACTGGAAGCTTAAGTACATGAGACTTTTCCTCGAGCAAGAATAGGAAGGAGAAAAGAAATCAGCCTTGCTGGGCTCCAGGAAACACTGAGGCAGACCGTATTTCTATCACACAGATCCCAGTAAGAAGGCTACTGGGAAATACTTTCATCATCATTCCCTGAGAGACTGTAGGTCCTTGAACTCTATGGATCAAGGTTCTGGAAGGCCTTTTGTGAAACTCAGGGCACAAATGGGCATTCAACACCAACAGCAATTGCAAAAAGATTGCAATGCTAAGAAAAGAGGTGATGGGTGGAGAGGAAACTTTCCGCAAGCAGGAAGATAAACCTGGTTAGGATAACACCCTTCGCTTCTTCCCTGCTGCCTGTTCCAAACCCAAGAGCAGTTGGAGTTTTACTTACAACACCTCACAACTCAGTTCTCACCCGAGACCTCTGACTTGTGCTGCTGTCAAATTTCTTGGTCTTCTGCTCCTCCTTGAGGATGCGGCGTCTGCGCAGCTCTGCGCTCACGGACACCTCCAAATATGCTACCTGCTGCAGTGCCACCTGGCCCACAAGGGACACCAGATGCAACAGCAGGAATGTAGGGAGACTGCTAGCACCAGACACTCTGCTGGGAGAAGCCTCTTGATCTAGGGGAGAAAAATGATTGCAGTTCAGTATTAATTTGGACTTCACCCCCCTCCACCAGTTACTGCCAAATCTCATTAACTGCATAACCCATCTTCACTCCCCACAGACCCCTTCACAACACCCATATCCTTCCATGCCAACATCTCCACTAGCTCCTCAGCTCTGTTCTCCTCCTGCAGTTGTTCCAAACCACCCCAATCACAGCACTAGAAACCACGGGTACAGGCTTTCTTCACCAGCTTTTTTCCTTACCAGCTTTCTGCCCATCAGCCTCCTGCAGCTTGTCCAGAACTTTCTGGCTGCACACCTGCAGGATGCGAGCACTGATCTCGTCTGCCCCTTCTGCTAGCTGGTAGATAAGTGTTATTGCTGCCTCCATGAAAGGGATCCAGTCACCACTTGGCTGAACAAAGCCTGATGAGAAAACGGAGCCATGTACCACGTGTAACAGCAACAGCACAGGCTGTCTCACAGCCCAACTCCACCTCCTCCAAACCTCCTGCTGTCCTGAGCTCACCTTTACTCACAGCCTCAGTCAGGTACCCAAAGAGCATGTGATCCTGGGGCAGTCGAAAAGGGCCTTTGTTCCTCTCCAGTGCTGGCTGCGGAGAAAACAGATCTTAACCACACAACAGAACTCCCCCGTGCCCTCCCTAGCACTTCATCTTGCTGTGTGCACAATCCCAATCAAAAGCCTGCTATGCCTGTGGCAGTGACAGGCAGCACAGCTCTGCAACTAAACACACCGCAGGGATATTTCTGTCACTTTCGAAGACACCGCGCAGATTCAGTTTGGCCAGAGGATGACCCCAAACCAGACAGTTCCACTACTTCACTTTAAATCAGAATAACTCTTGAAATCTCAAAATGACTCTTGAGATTTGATGTTACTTTGCTCCTTCATTCACCATAATGAAGAAGATGGAAACCTTCAGAGCATCTTCAGAATTAGCAAAGGTAAATCAACAAGATGCCCTTGGCTACGGGTATGGTACTCCAGCACCACAAGGTTTTGTTTAAAAGTAAAATGTCATCACTAGAAATAGTGGAAGACAGCTCTGGATTCAACATTACCTCGCACTTGCAGTGATTAGAACGCTCTGTATCACTCCCACTACATCTTATTCCCAGGCTAATATAACCCAGAGAACTAAAACAAAACTGACAATGCCTTGGATATCCCAGCACATCTGTGGCTATCTGATCAAGATATACTTGATGAAAAGAAGCTACTGCTTGAGGTTTTAACAGCTTTCACTATCTGGAAACAAAAATTCTCAATTTATTATAATCCTACTCTCCATACTAAATCTCTGGTTTGGGGCAGAAGAGCTACCACCATTAGTCAAGTATCAGTCCCTTCTCATATACTAACTTAACTGCAGTCAACCTAAAATTAAATTACAACTATCTTCAGAACATTTACAAGCGCTGTAATGCCCATTAATTCAAGAAGGTAATTCCTGCATTAGCATCACCATTCTCAAAACAGAACAATTGTGTTGTGTGAAGGAGGGCTGCTTTTATACTGGAACTCCTGAATTGAAATGCCCTAAATATTTGAGTCAAAAAAGAAAAAAGCTTTTATTTGTTAATACAGTTGGGGTGGAAAAGGCATAAAGTGTTCTTCGACAGAGAAGCCATGTGATAGGTTACCAGTTACAACACGAACAAGTTTGAAAATCTTTTGTCTTATGCTCAGCTGTACAGCTGCCACTCCCAAATACCAATTAATAGGGAGGGTAAAGGCAACAGCAGCAGAAAATACCATAGATGAAAGGACTCCAGGACCAAGGAGACACAAGTCAGCTTAGAACTGGGAGTCTGACTAAGAGAAGTCGAAGAAAAACAGATTTTCTTGCGTACAGGACTCTCTGCTACTTTGAATTCAACCTGTTGCCTAATGAAAATTGTTACTGCATGTTCACTGATGTGTGGTAAGCTTTCCTGACAGCGCTGCTGAATGGTCTCAACCTACCTTATTTCAACACACAAAACATACCCCCCTCCCTAGCTAGTAACATTTTTTCTTATTTCTCTTCTCAATATAAGCTACTTCCCACTTTTTAAAACCACTATTACTGTGACCTCATGGGTAAACTGGAAGTCTTACCTTAGGGTTACTGGCAAGTTTGGAGATCGTATTGCATACTTCCTGTGCCAAACAATAGTCTTCACATGCTTTCTCAGACAACCCTACTGTCACCAAAACATCCAAGTTGCTACCTACGATCTCTGGCTTCCCTCTGTGGAATAGAAGACACAGGAGTATTATGTGAGGTGCTGATTAAAGTTTACAGTAAACATACACAGACAAGAGAAATGCTCCTTGTACCTTATGGGGACAAAAAAAAAAGAAAAATCCTTACACCCACCTCCCCTTCCTACCTGTGACACTAGGTCTGTGCTTTAGAATGCACAATTTACGGGGTGAAAAGGGTAAGAACAAAATTTAACAAGATCACACTGGGCCCTAGGCTCACCGTGCCATCAACCCCAGCAGCATCACAGCTGCACGTCGTTCTAGAGGCGAGCACTGCAACTTCTCTGTGAACCGCTCCCAAAGCAGCTGGATCACAGCAGGTTTTATTTCATCTTTCTGCACAAACTCTGAGATCTGGAAAAGAAGTACAATAAAACAAGCAGTGAGAGGCAGAGGAGGATGAACGGACTTCAGACCAACAAAGACATTCACGGCACTGACTGCCATTTTAGCATAACAGATATTTAAGATCACAAATACAATTCAAATCCAGACAAAGCAAATACTCACCATTTCTTCCAAGCACTGTATTGTTCCTAGTGAAGCATCCACCACGATGAGAGAGAGAGAATGCACCAGGTTCTGGGCCCTGGCCCTTTGAAGGGGAAGAGAAAAAAAAAAAGAAAAAGCAACTGTCATGATTACTCACTCACCTATTCAGAGAGCTGAGGACAACTACTAGATAAAAGATCTGATTTCTGGGAACAAGAAAACTTGCCCTTCCACAAGCTACAGTCCTCAGAGTCACACAGACCAAATTTCAGCAAGCACACCATGAGCTCCGAAGTCCACTGCTGTTCTTCCCTATGCTCCACACAAATGCCCAACAAGAGGCACTCACCAGCCACTTCCCAGTTTACTCTTAACCACAAGTCACAGTACTACTCACTAGAGCATAACAAACTGCAAAACTATCTGTGAACAAATAAGACTCAAAGACTACAGCACGCATGACTTGTCAGCAGAAACCCCGAGGTTTGGGAACAAAAATTCTACGTTTACACCAAGTTGTATGCTATTCCTCTTATAACCACCCAATGGCAAGAGACTATATCATTAAAAAAAAATAATAAAAAAAATAGAGGAACAGACATTGGGCTACAACATTGCCCAAGGAGGGTGAATTCCCATGTCTCCAAGACTGGAAGCCAGCTGCTATGGGCTGATCCCATAAGGGACTGAAATACCTGCCCAAAAGTCAGTTCATTGTTGCGAATCAAGAACCCAGCTGACATGACAAATATTCAATAGCTGACGCCCCTTGATATCAAATGATCCTACTCAGATCATTTGAACAGATGCCTCCTGGTGTGGTGCTTTGTATGAGTGAAATTTAGGAGAAAGTTCAGCGTGAGCACCTGACAGCAGTTTCATTTAAAAGACTTCGTAATTTTGCCTCCTGTAAGGTCTCGTGGAGTTCTGCTGTGTTAACTTCCTACATATGAATACTACAACAAACCAAAAGCAGAAGCTCATCAGTAAGTCCCAGAGGAACACTGGGATACCCACACACATAAAACCACATTGGAACTGCTCAAGTGTTAGTAACAGTTCAAAGAGAAAACATCTTCACTGGTAGACACAAACCTTACATTTCAGCTCAGCATGAAGCACGGCAACTTTGATTTCTCTTTCTGTCTGTATTCCGTTTCCAACAACTCCCCAAAGGAAGGAAAATGGAGAGGGGGAAAAAGAGCAAGAAAAGCCCTCTGAATAGGATGTCCCATACCTCTCCGAATTCCCGTTCGGGCTCAGATAGAGCTGCCTGTAGGCATTCAGCACAGCCTCCTTAACAGCAGGCTCTTTCGACCATATGAGGGGGAGCATCCTGCGGACTCCAAGCAGTGCTTGGGGCACACCAAACCGGGAGACCGTCACAAAGAACTCAATGGCTTCCTGAACCACTGCAGAGGAAAGAATAGTTGCATTAGTGAAGTTTCTTCCTTCTCCTTATTAGAAAGGCCATTAAAACATATTCACAGGCACACTGCTCTTACAACTAACCCTAGGAGCATCAAAGATCACTGCTACTGTCTGCAGACGGCTTAAGTCAGAATAGGGTCCCTGGTAGAGATACAGATGTCCTGGAAGAACTGGGCATAGGTTAACAACATTATAGCTAGCTGTGATATGAGAGACCTAGGAAATGAGCACAGAAGCCACACTTCAGGAAAAAATAAATCTATTCTAGGAAACAGCAGCTTTGAAAAAAAAGATCTTATGGTCACAGCAGATAAAAAGCAGCTGTCTCAGTACAATGTTGTAACCAGAACAGCTCAGGTACCCGATGCATTGATGGGGTACAAAGCATTTGCCATGTATAAGGAATAACATAATTTGACTCTAACTTGACAGTTCCTGAAAATATACAGCCCAGTCTTCTGTTCATAAGACAAGAAAAAAACACGTTAAGTTACAGTGCATTCACAAGAAAGCCACAGTGATGATTAGAGAATCTGTACAATGAACAGTTTATAGAGCCTGAACTCCGGTTAAGTGGAAGCTTATGGCAGTATGGGCAAAATAACGTCTCACTGAAGAGGCTGTACCCCTACCAGACATGAAAGTGTGTGTGTCTAGACAGTCTGCTATGCTTGTGCTGCCCCCAGTCACACCAGAAGGTGCACTCTTACCAGAGAAAAATAAAATTGCATCTTCATATCTTAAATCTTAATTAAAAAAAATTAAATCTGAACATACACATCCCTTAGTCCCACTCAGCACCACAGCAGCATACTGTCTGGATATCTAACTTGCCATCCTTGTACTACAGCACAGGACAAAAGCTAGTAAAAACTGAAACCATAAAAACCAACCAAGCAACAGGCACTGAAATACCAGCTGAGGGGCACTCTCTTACCCTTAAACTACAAGTGACCCGTAAAGATGCTGAATTCGAGTTCGTTCTTGTGTATGCAATCAGCTAAAAAATCCCAACCTTGCTGAAGGAAGCCTGCATGCTTAGCACGGCTAAGATACAAGTTCTCATCACAGGTGAAGCTCCAGAAGCATCTGCATGATGCTAAGATGCTGTAGTGTCCAGAGCCACCCACACTCCAGAAATACATGAGGGGTTGGGACAAGTGGATGAGCAAGGTGGGATTTGCACCCTGCACCTGTCTCAGGAGTGTTGATTTATGACACTTTAAAAAAAAAAAGTCTAACATTAGTAGCTGAATTAACACTATTCGGGACTACTCATCACTCCACCTTTGTACTGAAGGTACAGAACTGAAGAGAATCAGGCCATAGGACCTGCTGACAAGGATTGCTTTTGGCTACAGAATAAAGTTTAAGGAGAGGTGATGTTAATGAGAAATGCTGCTCAGTTCCTCTCTTTTGCCCGGTGTAACACCTGAAGCAGCATCAAGCAGGTAACAGAACCCTGCTTAACTTGCCATGCCTGCTTTGGGAGAACCTCAGCTGAGATGAGGATCTCCTCCCACAAGAGAGGGGAAGCCTACATAAATTAATTTTGGTCTTTTTTTTTTTTTTAATCCTGATATTTAAAAAAATCAATCCTACACATGCCTCAGAAGCCTACTCACATCCTAATGCGACCCTTTCACAACACTAGTTTAGATAATGCTTCCTGCTCCCAGTATTCCAGAGCCTGTGACATCTTCTCAGTAAACAGCAGCTCTTCCAGCCTTTTTGTTGGTGTCCCACCGCTCCTACATCTCTTCAGTAAGGGGAGGGACCTAGAAAACTGTAAAAAAGGAGAAAAAAATGGCCCCATGGCTATTTCACATACCTGAGACAGAATTTTCATACATCAGCTTGCTGACCAGGCTCAGGGCTTCTGTGATTTTCACTGAGAAGTTGTAAGCATCTTGCAGATACTGCACCAACATCTCCTGTTTGACCAGCTCTGTCTGAGCCTGCTCTTGAGGCTGCTCTTTGGGCGCAACTTCTTCGATCGCAAGACTCCTGTTGTCACATGGAGAATCCTCATGGTTCTTACCTGGGCATAAACACTTGCTTGTTAACAGTATTGAAGGTACAAGAGAAACAGGCACTGCTCAGGGCATTAAGTGTTCTGCTTCCACCCCATATTGACATCTTGTAACAATCAAGAGACTTCCACAAAAAATAAAACCAAAAAGCAAATGAAAAAATTACAGACTTTGCCATCAGAATTCTACAAAGACAAAATCTCAACATGCTATAAACTCCAGTACTACAACATGATGCACCACAGATATACCAGCTAAGACAGGGGTCAGGAAAGGCATTGTCCAGTTTACTCAAACTCCGTAAAAACAATGAAGGAGTTAATCTGAATTTGACAGTTCCCCGAAGATGGACAAGGGCCTAAAAGGGAATCAGAGCAGAGTACAAAGAAGGAAAAAAACTACTAACTCTGTAGCAAAGAATGTTCAAATCTGGGGAGCTGACAAAGTTCAGATTATTATTTAGATAGTATTTTTTTTTAACTAGAAATGAGTTCAAGGGGATTAGCTGGGAGACCTTATTCTGAACCAAATACAAAAGATAAAGCATGCAAAGTCTTAAAATATAAGCATGAGCCCCAGAGAAATAAGACTTTGCTTGATTCTGATACTTGCTCAATAGTGAGCATTATGTGCCACCACCTGTTCAGGAGGCAGAACTCCACACAAATTCAGACAGGACAGAAGTGCAGGAGTGGATTAACACCGGCTTCACGCCCCATAGCAGATATGATATGACTTAAAACATCAGAAATGCACTTCCAGTGGGAACATGGAACATTTCCCACCAGAACCAATAAAACAGTCAATAATCCAGCTGCCAAGTACATGCAGAACTGAAGTCTACATGTCAAAAGAAGGGATATGGCATTCCAGAGGGTTTGGGTCTAACTCTGGTACCAGCTTGAACTCAGGGAAGAGAAAGACCAGTGTGCTGCAGTTACCTATGTAAAGTCTCTTCAGAATGCCCAGGATTGTTGCCTCCTCATTTTCTTCCTCGGAGCTAATAAAGGGCTCCTTCCCCTGGAAGCGGCACAGGGCCTTCTGCGTAAGGTGGACTGCACTCCTGGACAACAACATCGCCCAACAGGATGTCAGCAACCCGTTCAGACAGAAAACAAGGGAAAACATCCAGCTTTGCCCTGAACACCTAGGGAAGCAGTTCCTGAAAGCATGCTGCGCTGGGTACCCTCATCAATCTCCTCCCACAGAATAACATTATTGGACATCATCCCTTTCCCCTGAAGCTCAAACAAAGAATGATAGACTGACATATCCCCTATTATACAATCCTCTCTTGAACTGCAGAGCCCTCTTACTTGTAATTCAGCTTCTTCAGAAGCCCAGTGATTTGCTCTGATGCACCCTCTGCTGTTTCTTCAACTTCCAGCACCTCATCTTCCTCTTCCTGAAGCGGTAGGAGCTGCTCTACGGCAGCTCTAACTTCTGGCAGCATTGCTTCCCACTCCTCTTCTGGGGTGATTGCTGGAGCTATAATGAAACAGGGAAGATGGGGAATGGAGAAGACATAAATGATACCCTAAGCAGGGAAAGAAAACTCATCTGGAAGTAATCCTACACTTTCTTCCCCCCACAGACAAGACAGTATTCCCACTGTTGATCCCATCCAGGCAAGAATATGAATAGACAAGAAGTTGGCATTAAAAAAAAAAAAAAAAAGAATACACTGAAGGGCAGCTGAGAGAACCACCATTTGCTATTTATTGCTTTGTAGGCAGCATGAGACACGAGGTTAATCAAGTTTAACTTAATATTGGACCTAACTCCTGGCTGAAGCCAGGACTCCTTGAGTGGTTGACAATGGAAGTCCCGGAGGATGTTCATAGAAGTTTTTAAGTTCTTACCCTGTTAACAGGACATTCATAAGGTCCTTTTATTACAACATAAACTCAGAAAAAGTTTATTTCCAGTTACCTGGCTTACTGTCTCACACAAGTAAGATCTGAGACAAAAGCCACTGCAATCTGGGAGCAAGCGTAAGATGACAAAAAAAAAAAAAAAGCACAGAATAACTCCTACTGGCCACGGTACAGGGTACACCTTGTAAAGGGCAAAGAGGAAGAGAAGTTACCTGCAGTTTCTCTGCAGCGGTCCCTCATTTCTTGCAGCTTCTGCACCTCTTTCTTGAGTGGGTCAGCCAAGTCAGCACAGCTTAACTGAGGATGCCAGGAAGGGAAAAAATACATTACTTAAGCTTCTTTTTCTAGAATTCTCTTTTCTCTACTTTAAGTTATCAGTCCCCTCAGAACACCTGTATCTTCGAAACTGAAGTAGCAGACCCAGGTCGCTATCCTAGAATGGCTGCTGCTGTAAAACACCAGTTTAAGCCTCAGAAAGTCAGGAAGAGCTGCAGCTGAATATAAAGAACTGCAGAATTCTGCGTAGAATGTTCTAAAGACTAATTCTGATTCTAAGGAAAGAAATCCCCTGGTGAATTCACATCAAACTGCTGCAGGTTTTTCCACAATCAAGACCATAACCCTCTCGGTCCTGCATATTTATCAATTACACCAAGTGAGCGAAGAGCCAGAGAATAAGACCTGAACAACAGAAACTTCTGAAAGCTCCTGCTAGCAGCGTTAGAAGTTACCCTGTCTCTTCCACAAGGTACAGAAAGAGCACTGCCCTGCCTGTAACACGCTGCAGATACTCAGCCTGCAGACACGTAGCACAGTAGTAGGAATTACCTTGCAGGAGAAGGGATTGTTGGACAAAAACGCAGCCAGGAGCTGGATGGCATTTTTAACTACCACCACAGATCTGTCTTGGAGACGCCCAACAGCCAGCGATACCACAGACTGGAACTGAGTCAAAGGCAGGGCCTGGGGCACAATGAGAGTGTAGGCAAAGTTATCGAGAAGCTCTGGAGACTTGCAAGAAGTTGTTTTCTCGCAGATACATTAATACACCTGTGTGCTGTTCTACTGAAAAGCTTGTCTACAGAAAGGCACAGATTGTAGATTCATAAAAAATCTGGGTCTGAAGGGTACAACATACATCTGGTACAACTTCTGTTGAAAGCAAGGACTTAGATTAGGTTTGCCAAGGTCCTGCTGAGTAGAGCCTTAATATTCCCAGTGCTGTGTATTCCCATACCGATGTCCAGAAAGTCTTTGCACATCATGTGCTTCCTTCTACTCTGTCCCAGTAATAACAAGAAGCATGCAGTTTCTGTTCCCCACTTCCCTTAACCCTAGCATCTTTGTTCACTTGTGAAAAGGAATTGCAGACAATTCCTTTGGAGGACAGTATCTTTCTCACTTAGACTCCAGCCTCTGCACACGAAGAACAGGGTGACAAAAATTCCCTTAGAAAACAAATGAGGGGAGGGTGACCGAGGCAATACCACTTCCACACCACACTTACCTTACCGTGAACGATTCGGGTGAAAAGCTGCAGCACCCGACTGCGCACAAATCCACTGATATCACAGATGTGGGCCTGCAGCATACTCAAGAAATGGTCCCGAGTACCACGGGCAACTTCCTCCAGCTGGTCACCGTTCAGCACCTGCAGCAGCACTTCTGTCATAGCTGCCAGAATGGCGTTTCGCATCACGTAGCTCTGCAAAGAGAGGAGTTGTTGGACCAGGAACAGAAAAGCCTGACCTGGTATGCCAATGGAAAGGACAGCCCAGAGTTCAGGCCTGTTAAGTCCCATGCTCAAGCCTTGAGTGAATTTCTGAAAGTGACAGAGACTCGACATCACGTTTTGTGTTTTCTTTTTATGTTTTAGGGAAGGCCGTGACCTATTCCAAAGGGCAGGTTTTGGCTACAAAGTCTTTGTAAAAGAGGTCCTGTTTTCAAAAAGAAAAAAAAAACTGAGAACAACACTTCCACTACTTGACTTCTCCAGACATGTAAATGTTTTGCAAACGTACCTCGCCATCCAAGTGACGCAGCAGAACACTCATGTTGGATAGCACCAGAGCAGGGTTTTGTTCAGCAAGTTCCGTTATAAAGGTGGCATAACCCTTCACTCCAGAAGTATCACGAGATAAATCCTGCGGATTTTTCTGTCCAATTTCCCTGCACAGAAAGATGACACAAGGAAAAGGGCACCTCCAGTTGCCGGGGTTAGAAAAAGAAGCCTTGGTGTATTTTTCTCACCTCAGAAGTTCACCCACTATACTTTTCAGACCATACTCTGTAGCCCAGACAGTCACAGCCCGAACAAACACTGGGGCTACGTGTTCAGAGTGCTGCAGCATCTGCGTGATCTTCAGAGTAGCACCTTTAGGACGAAAGGAGGGAGAAAGAGGTCAGGGAAAATACCTGGGGACAGCTTCCATAAGAAGGCAGAAAAAGCAGGAACTCACTGAACAGGTGATCGTAGTGAGTCAAAGCTGTGGCAAGCAGATGTGTCACTGCATCCCGCGTGGCCCGATACTTCTGGTGACCGATAGTTGGATTCTCCAGGATGCGGTAGCAGACTCCTGTCACTAAGCTAAAGCCACACAGAAGAGACAATCAGCTTCACTACTGCAGGTTGCACCAATGTCAGCCTAGCAAACTGCTCTATGTACACACCTCTCCCTGAGACCAGAGAGATTCTCCAATATCCTTCAGAAACTGAGCAACAAACATCTGAATACTACACAAGAAAAAGAAGTGGTTCCTAAATGCCTCACGGTTTCCTCAGCCTCCCAGTGAGGGGCATCCTGCAGAAGGCTGCAATACCAGCTCACTGGCAGATTTAACATTTAACCCCTTCTTCCCACACCTACATCCACTCCATCCCATCCCTTCTCGGCGCTCCCTTACTTGACAAAATCTTCTTCCACCACGCCACCCCAAAGCCGGCGGAGATCCAGCTGCAGCAACTGGTTTAACAGACGCAAGAGCGGCTCCCTCTCCTCTTCCCACGAGGATTCAGAGCCCTTTGCACGGTTCTTTTTGTTCTAGAAAGAAAATTACGTGATGTGATACATTAGTAGCTTGACAACAGGAAAAAAAAGAAAAGAGAACTCCATCCTGCTTCCCTTGACAATGAACACAGCTGTTAAACCCTATAGCACGGAGGGGCACACATTAAGATGTGTAAGACATTTTTATGCCCACACCAAGTGACTGTTGCTGTCATCTTGGAGCACAGGAGAGAACTCTTAAGCTGAAGAGTGAAAGACAGATCTGGGCATTTGAGTCCCGGCTGATGTTTAGGCACACATTTGTCTGCCTTCCAAGAAGGATTTCACAGAAATACTGCTCTTGCACGTTTAAATTATCGCAGTTATACCATTTGACCCACATTTCAGCAAGCTCCTGCATTTTCTATGTTGTTTTCTCCCCAGTCTTCTCACCTACCTTTCCACCAGGATCCACCTCTACCAGCCCATTCTTGGAGGTTTGCTTTTCAAAGGCTTCCAACAGGCCAGTCAGCACGTAGCAGTTCATCTTGAGAGCGCTCAGGTGAGCGCTCAGGTCTGCGTGGCTCAGCCCAGAATCACCCAGGATGGCAGGAAGCTCATTGGAATGACGGGACGCCACTGGAGAGAGGCACGAAGAGGTGAGGACTTTGGGCCAGGTTCCTCAGCCATGCTCTCTGCTGAGGACTTCGAGCAGCCATCAGATTACCAAAGATGTGTGCTCACATCTTGCCAGCTGCAAGGCTGCCCCCTGCAACCCAAACCTGGGAGCGCTCTCCAACCCTGTTCCCGCAGCCCCCCCGTCAGCTGCGAGAAGCACTCACTCGGAGCTGATGCACCCCCAGGATTTGCCTTTCCAGGGATGTGGGGAAGGGGATTTTCTGTCGGCCTGCCCTTACAGCGAGCACGCACGGCTCTGCGCTGCCCACCAAGATTACAGACCCCTACACAGGAATGGGCTGAGGGTGCCACCCAGCTGGCCAAGTCACATTAGCCTTTATATCATCATGGAGCTGCTGAACGAGGGCAAAACCCCCCTTTTGGCAGGCACCCACCTTGCATCATCAGCTCCAGGGCGTCCTCCCTCAGGGCAGGTGCCACGGCTTGGAAGTTGCTGCGGGGAGGCAAGCACAGCGCGTCAGGGCAGCGCACGCACGGACCCCCGGGGAGGGGGAGCACCCCCAGGCAGCCCCCCGATACTCACTGCAGCAAGCTGTACATGGTGTCGAAGTGCTGCAGCACAGCCAGCGCACCCTGCGCCCGGAAAGCGGCCCGGAAAGCTGTGGGGAGAGATGGGAGGTGTGAAGGGGGCTGAGGGGGGACTGTGGGGTAGGGAGGGTTGGAAGGGGGCTTGGGGGACTGAGGGAGGTTAGGGGGAGCTGAGGGGGAATTGGGGGGGACTGAGGATGACTGAGGACGACTAGGGGAGGGCTGGGGGGCACTGAGGGGGAATTGGTGGGGCTAGGGGAGAACTGAGGGGGAATTGGGTGGACCTGGGGGGGACGGAGGAGGAATTGGGGGGCTTGGGGGGGGACTGAGGTGGGACTAGGGTGGCTGGGGGTGACTGGGATGGGACTGGGGGGGGCTGGGGGGAACTGGGGAGACTGAGGAGGACTGGTGGGGGAATTGGGTGGGGCTGGGGGGATGACTGAGGGTGAATTGGGGGGATACTGAGGGGGACTGAGGGGGGAATTGGGGGGTTGAGGGGGGCTGGGAACTGGGGGGTGGCTGGGGGGGACTGAGGGAAGTTGGGGGGGTGCTGAGGGGGACTGAGGGGGAATTGGGGGGGCTAGGAGGGACTGAGGGGAGGACTTGGAGGGGGCTGGGGGGGGACTGAGGAGGGACGGGGGAGGACTGTAGGTTGGAATTGGGGGGGCTGCGGGGGACTGAGGGGGAATTGAGGGGGGCTGGGGGGGAATCAGGGCGGTGCTGAGGGGAACTGAGGGGAGGACGTGGGGGGGTCTGAAGGGGACTGAGAGGGAATTGGGGGGACTGGGGGTGAATTGAGGGGTACTGGAAGGGGACCGAGGGAGCTGAGAGGGAACTGGGGGGGCTGTGAGGCCTGAGGGGAGGGCTGGGGGGGTCGAGGGGGGCTTGGGCGGAGCTGACGGGGACATGGCGGCAGTGGCAACAAGCCCTCGCCTGGACACTGGGGGGGGGGGTGTGCTCAGACCCCTACCTGCCACCGCGGGCGGCAGCTCCCTCCCGGACAGCACATCCTGCACCACGTAGCGCCCCACGCCGCCGCCCCGCAGCAGGTCTCCGGCCACCAGGGGCAGCTGGAAGTCGCACGTCGCCGCCATGATGGCCGCCGGCCTCCTCCGAACGGCCCGCGCTGGCCTCACTCGCCCCGCCCCCCGCGCCGCCTCAGCCAATCAGCGCCCGGAGGAGCGACCGCCCCCCGGCGCCTCGCCCAATCGCCGCCCGCCTTCCCTCAGCGCGGCCGTTAGCGCCCGTGGACGCCGCCATGTTGGCGCTGGTGAGGGCGGCGGGGCGGGCCCTGGCGCTGCCCGCGGCCTCGCGGGGCATCGGGGGCGGTGGGGGGGGGCGGCCGGGGCCCCCCCTGCCCCTCTCGTCCCCTCTGGCTGGGCTGTCGCCGAGCTTCCGCGTGCGGGAGCCGCCCAAGCCGCAGCAGGTGGATCGCTGGACGGAGAAGCGGGCCTTGTTCGGGGTCTACGACAACGTGGGCATCCTGGGTGAGCGCCCACAGCCCGCCCGGGGGCACCGGGACCCCCTCACGGGCCCCCTTCACGGGTCGGGGCCGGCCGCATTGGGGACCCCCCTTCCCCGGTTTTCCACCTCGTCTCACCCCGCATCCTCTTTCTCTTGGCAGGCGGCTTCAAGATGCACCCCAAGGACCTGATCGTGGGGCCCAAGTGGCTGCGGGGCTGGCGGGGCAACGAGCTGCAGCGGTGCCTGCGCAAGAAGCGGATGGTGGGCGACCGCATGTTTGTGGACGACTACCACAAGCTCAGCAAGAGGATCCGCTTCTTGTACCGCCGCTTCAACCGCACCGGCAAGCACCGCTAGGAAGGAGCCAAGGGGGGTTTGGCTTGCCGAGTGTGCTTCTGAGGCGTCGCGGTCTGAATAAAGACTGTTGTTCCTACGTTTGGTTTCCCAGTGCTTCCTGCAGCCTGTGCTGTGTGTTGCTGGTCCCAGGGTTGTGCTGCTGCCTCAGGCCAGAGCTCTTTGCAGGTTCAGCCCCCAACAACCATCTCTGGCACGCTTCATGCAGTCCCAGCCTGCATCTTCTAACTCTTACTGGAGAGTCCTCCACTTTTTTGGCCAGGCTTCCAGCTTCCTTTCAGTCTTTGTGAGGCCCACGTTCTCACACCCAGCAAATTCAGGACGCTTCATCTTGGGTTTTTCCTCATAGCCAAATTATCAAGTTAGCTATAAGCGTGCCTCCTAATACCACTTCATACTTACTGCTTGCCCTCTGTCCTCCGCCTAACCATGATTAACGCTGTTTGAATGATCCAATTGTTAGTTGAAATACATCAAAACATGCTTTTAGAACAGGACTTGTTGCTGTTTCACACATTGATGACAACCCCATACTAATGACACCAGGCAAGTAGCTTTTCATTTAAGTAATTTAGGCACTTAACAGGTTTAAAAAAACTCAGCTTCTAATTTTCCATGACTGTTACTTGTTTCTAAGCTACAGAAAGTCAAAGCTGGGATCCCTCAAGTCCAGCATCCTGTTTCTCGTGAACTCTGCTGTTACACATTGCAGAAAAAATCAGCATAAAATTTGGAAGACGAGCATGCCTCTGCCTGAGCTGTAGCTTGGCTGTTAGCTGACTGGGAAGATACCTGCTGCTGATGTATCCTGTTACAGAGTGACATTGCTCTGTCTTTAAAAGCATTTGGTTGGAAGCAGCAGGGAACGAAAAAGGGTTTGGGTCTGTGCCTTAGGAAGGTGAAGCCAAATTCTCTGTTCAAGCAACTGCAAAGTCCGTGTTCCCCGGAGCAGGGTAGTAGACCTGTGGGATTGTTGTCAAAGGTGTTGAGCATTCAGAATATTTACGGATTCAAGTGGAGACAGAGCGAGCACCTGGAAGGTGCTTTTGGGGGTTATCACAAGTGTAAAGCATGAGTGTAACAAATCCTTTTCTAGAAATGTCAGAAACTGGAGAAGTATGAGGGAAGTATCTGGTTCCCTTTGCCAGCCCTTAGTCCCCACGTACCAGCTCTGTTTGCCCTGGGTCTCGAGAGCAATTCATACCAAGTGAAGCAAAGCAGTAATTCAGCAAGCTCTGCCTTCTGTTCACAAGGATATTGGAGCAGTCCTCACCTGACAATGGGAGCAGGAAGGCTGCCAAGCTACAGAAGCTTTTTCCCCCACTTGTCCCTTCGCAGTTTGTCTGAAGGCAGAGTTTAAAACCCCTCAGTTCTGCCGAGGCTGCAGCTGGGCTGTTCTCTCACGCTCAGTAGTCCCCATATTCTTTGTAGCCACAGCCTTTTGGATGCTAGGTTGTAAGGTGCTGTTTTGTGTATCTCATTTTCCAGGTTTGTCCTTAAAAGCTTTAAATTAGGGCCTGCATCACCTTATGAAGTTGTTCAATGTAGCTCTGAAGCAGTTGCTTGCTACCCTGCTTCCTACGCAAAATGCTGCAGAGAGACTTCTTCCAGTTTGTTCTTGCTTCCCTTTCTGTCCCGAATGGAGGAGTCCTCCCTCCTGATCCAGTAGGTCTCAGAAGCTGAACCCTAATACTAACACCGAGCCAACCACTAACGCTAACCCTAACCCTAATGCTAACCCAAATGCTTATGCTAACCAAAACCCTAACCCTAAGCCCTAACTATAAGGCTAACCCATACCCTAACATTAACCCAAATGCCAATGTTAACCCTAAATTTAGACCTTAACCCTAATGCTAACGCTCATGATAACCCTAACCCTAAAACCTTAAAATAAGCCTAATATTAAGCATAAACCCTAACCCTAAACCATAATGCTAACCCTAACCCTAACACTAAACCCTAAACAAAACTTAATCCTAACGCTAATTCTAAACAAAACCCTAAATGAAATCTAACCCTAACACTGACTCTAACCCAAAATCTTAACCCTAACCCTAATGCTAACCCAAAACTTAATGCTAACCCTATTGGTAACCCTAATGCTAACCCTAACCCCAACCCTAAACCAAACACTAACCCTATTGCTAACCATAACCATAACTCTAACGCTAATTCTAATGCTAATGCAAACACTATTGCTAACCCTAAACCCAAATCCTAACCCTCACCCTAACGCTAAACCTAACCCAAAACTTAATGCTAACCCTAAACTTAACCCTAATGGTAACCCTAACGCTAACTTAACCCCAACCCTGAATGAAATGCTAACCCTAATAGTAACCCTAACCATAACCATAGCCATAACCATAACCATAGCCAACTCTAACCCTAATTCTAACCCTAACCCTAAATTTACCCCTAATGCAAACCCTCTTCCTAACACTAAACTGAAACCTAACCCTAACCCCAACCCATAACCCTCACCGTAACCCTAAATCGAATCCTAAACCTTAATGCTAACCCTAACCTTAACCCTAACCCTGACCCTAACGCTAAACACAACCCTAACCCTAACCCTAAACCCCAGCCCGCTCCGACTCCCGCGGGCGGGCCGCAGCGGCGGGCGCTGATTGGCTGCGGCGGAGGCCGGCGCAGCTATAAAAGGGCCTCGCGGCCGTTACCCCCTCAGTGTGCCGGCGGGCGCCCTGTGGTGCAGAGCTCCTCGTCAGCGCCCTACCCGGGGGTCCCACAACGCTCTGTGCCGCCCATGTGAGTGCCCCCGACCGGGGACGGGACGGGGCAGCCTCAGGGTGCTGGGGGGGGAGCGAGGAGCCGAGCACGGGCCCGGTTGCGGCGACCCGAGCCGGCCGGGTGGCGCATTGCAGCAGCCGGGGGCAGTGCGGTGGCTGGGGGGGGGGGTCTGCCCTTCGCACAGCAGGGCTCTGAGTGCATTTTGTCTCTGCTTTCCTTCCCCAAGGTCCGACCCAGCTCAGCAGCCGGCCCCCGAGGGGGTCCCCCCTGCTGGGGGGCCTCCCGGGTCGCCCCCTAACCTGAGCAGCAACCGGCGGCTGCAGCAGACCCAGGCGCAGGTGGAGGAGGTTGGTAGCGGAGCCTGATCCTTGCTTTGGGGCTGTGGGTGCTGGAAACGCGCAAATAGTCACTGTAGTACTGGCTAGTGAAATAGTATAGCGACCAGCCTCTAAAGAAGCTGGAGGAAGAGATGAATTAGTTCTACATTTAAAACTTACGTTTAAAAGCTGCCCAATTCTAGGTACTGCATCTAAGGGGTAGTCCTGGTAGATTTCTGTTACCTCATCTTATGCCTCTGTTATGGAAATAAAGCCATACCGCATCCAGAGCAGCTCCTAATCCCTGCCAGCAGCTCCAAGGGAGCAGCCCGTGAGCAGATTTGGTCGGTAAAGTGAACCTTGCCTGATTTTACAGGGTTGGTGTCTGCTGACACGCAATAGCTCCTTCACGCCTCGATGGGGCAGCAACATGCAGTGCTAAGTTGTCTCTGCAGTTAGCTGTGATTGAGCAAACCATTGCTGTGATGAGGGCGTGGTACAGGCTTGATGGGCTCGAGGACTTCTAAAAATGGATGAAAGTGGGGTGCTGAAAACATAGTTTAATGGTACTAAAGCTTTAGCAGAGTGTCTAGGACTCTTTTCCTAATTTCTAAATAGTCAATGGCTTGAAATGTGTTTATCCTGTTTTTTTCCTCATTTCAGGCTTTCACTTGTTAGTATCTCACATTGGCTATTGGCTGTGTTACTGCTCTTACACTTTCAACCCTCTTTACCATGATAACCACTTCTACTGTTCTTCCTTCTCCAGGTGGTTGACATAATGCGTGTAAATGTAGATAAGGTGCTGGAACGAGATGAGAAACTGGCAGAGCTTGATGACCGGGCAGATGCACTTCAGGCTGGTGCCTCTGTATTTGAGAGTAGTGCAGCAAAACTTAAAAGGAAGTACTGGTGGAAGAACTGCAAGGTGAGTTTCCTGATCTCATTATTTCCTTCATGAGACGGAAATTAGTCTGGTGTTCTCCCTTTGAGAGAGTAGTTGAGGCTTAATAAATATATCGCATGCTTGGTTATTTCACTGCAGAAAGTCTTAGAGGCTTTTTCTCTCCTGCTTATCAGGGAAGCTGTGAACTTGTCATCTTGTTCTGAGTATTACTGTCTGATAATCTCTCTCTCCAGATGATGATCATGATGGGAGTGATTTGTGCCATTATGGTGGTGGTGATTGTAAGTAAGTACCGAAAGAACTGGGATCAAAGGTGAAGAAGCCCCAGCTCCAGAATACTTGAAACTTTTTCATTTTGATTTATGATCTGTAGGGTTGCATAAGTGGTAACTTCCTTCCCTGGGAAGGGAGGTGGTGGTGCTGGAACTCCCACACTTACTGTGGAAACACTATGATTTACATAGCAAGGAATGAAAGTGGGGGTGGCTATTGTTGTAGAAATGGGGAATCTTGCCTACTTGGTCAAGTAAACCTGTAAGTATGAGGGACAGCATCTTGAAGTGGGTGGGTTGGCAAGTACCTTTCCTCATGGGGGATTTGGATGTCTCTAGGGGATTGTTGGGGTAACTTGCCCTTTTGTTTTTTCCTGTGTTCTTTTTTTTTTTCTGCTCTATCTCCAGTCTACTTTTTTACTTGAATGTAGCCCCTTCAGTCTGCCACCTACTGTCCCATTGCCTGTCTCTTCTTGCCTCTGAATCTTCCCTTCCACCTAGCTTCTTCATTGATTCCTTTATTGGTTCTGGTTTGTCTTCTATTTAAGATTCTGAAGTGCTCTACTGAGCACAGGTTAGACTCTTCCACAGCTGCCACAGCTTTAGGGAGGGTCATCTTAGTGTAAAGGAATGGGAAGCAGGGAAGGAGTGGGTGGCCCCTGCTCTTCTGCAGGGGAATTTCTGTGGCTTATTTTTGGGTGTAAACTTGTCAACTAGTGCCTCTGTAGACTAGCAAAATAAGAATGCCTTAATGCAGTGCCTTTGGGGATGCGGGATTTCATGTGAGATTCTTGTGTTCTCCATAAAGAGTTACTTCAGCTTTTCACTGAGTTTCTGAAATAACTGCTAATTTGCGCTGGTTAGCGGCTGAACCACCTGACTGAGCTAGATGTAGTCATCTAGATTGCTCTAGCCATAGAGAGATAAGCACTCGAGCACTTAAGCAATTTATTCTGCCTATCTTTATTTTAAGGTGACTTGCTCTCTGAATGTGGCTGTGTGAGTTATAACAAAGGGGAGTCTGTATGATTAACTCAGTGAAGTGCAACAGACTGAACACAGTTAATTGAAAGGAGTCTTGTTGCTTTCTGAAGGGCGTGTGTGGGCATAAAATCTGCCAGAAGGAACAAATGAACAACCGCAAGGAGTGTGGTGTGGTGGTTGGGTGTGTATCAAATATTCGTTTTCATCTATGCAGGCACAAGCCAGGACCTTATGGTTTTCTACTATCTTGTAGCTTTCTGGAAGACTTTGAGGTAGTAGCAGAACAAGGAATGGGAGTTTAGCTTTCCAGTGTTACTGTATTGAATGTCAAAGGAAATCTACTACATGATAGGTGGAGGGTGAAGGAGACTGGAGGTATTCCAAATAAGACTGAGTGAGCCACACAGCTTTCAGTAAGAACACCTATTCTGTTTCTTCTACCAGAAAGCCCTAAGTTTCAGCAGAAGGTAGGAAAATACTGTTAGTTAGGGAAGCAAGGAAAATGCTGCTTTGGGCATGGGTATTGCATCAGATGCTAGTTTGGCAGCTTTGATCTCTAGAGATCTTACCAGTCAAGCTGGAATCTTCCCACTTGCTGTGGGCTTTTTTGAACGCTAGATTTGGGGTGGTCTGTGCTGTAAATAAACTTGTAGTGTGGAGCACTATGGCTTTCTGTAACCAATTTCCATGTTCCTCAGAAAGAATCAGAGCTGTGAGTTGCATGAGTGTGTTGTCGAACTGGGATTAAATGAGCTGCCCTGTACCTCAGCTTCTGCAGTCCTGTGAGGAGTGTACATCTTGTCTTCACAAGCTATGTTGTAGCCTGTAATCTAGACAGGAAAGAGGGCTTTAATTGGGGAAGCTCTGCCTTGGGTGTAGAATACACTGGTGGGATCAGCCGAGGCTTAAGGGGTTGTGAGGAAGAACACCTATGGAGCTCCCATATGGGAGTGCAGTACAAAAAATGGGAGGAGCAGATGCTTTTGGTTGCAGTGGGTAAGCTGGGAAAGCCCCTTTCCCCCTGTCACAGGGTGTCTAAGTAGGAGCTAGATTTTGCACACTCACTTCCATGCCCAAGCATTTCATTTGCACTGAGTTCACCTCCCTGCAATTCCATCCCTCCCTGCCTTGGGTGAGAGCAGAGTTGAAGATCTGGAATGATGCAGCCCTCGTCCCCTGAGCACTTTCCTAATTCCCAGTGGAACTGAGGTGTGACGGATGGTCAGAAGAGCATCTGCTGAAGAGGAGCCAGGGCCTGCTTGTACTACTTACTGCTGTCATTTAGGGGGTGGGTATACAAGCTTGAGGCCCCCAGACCAGCAGTTCTCTTGAACTCTTCTAACAAGCTGTTGGTGCCCCATTCCTCCTGTTCCTCTGGGGACTGAGGTCCCCTTAGGCTGTCTTTTCCATTTCTTTCTCTTGTATGTTGTATATTGCTGCTTCTTCTGCTACCTTTGCCCTCCTTTGTGTCTCTGTGTGTGGGGGAGAAAAAAATCACCAAGGCCCTATGAGTAAAAGCGAGGGATTCTGTCCACAGCATTACAGGTAGTCACGCACGTGCAGTTTATTTCCTCTAAAACATAACTGTAAACCCCTTGGCATGTTACAGTAATCAGCTCATGTACTTTAAACAGTCTCTAAGAAACATAATTCACCACCTTACTGAGTCTGTCTGGTCTGTCTGTGGGTGGGGAAGGACTGGGATCCCAAACTGCTTCTTGGAAGAACATTTTTGTCACTTCTATCCCATACACACACCTGAAGTGTTATCCTCAGAGCAACGGGCGGTCTTCCATTGCAGTGATGCTAGTCAAGCATACATGTATAGTTCCGATACCACTGGAACCGACTCAGTGGTAAGTCTGTAACAATACGTTGAGACTCACTGCTCTGGGGTGAGAGGCTTTGCAAGCCAATATTACTTCCAGCCACAGTGCAATGTAAGGGGAGATGGACCCTTGAATGGATGTGTTGCTGGTAGTTCCTGCTCCTCAGGCTGTGCTGCCTTTGGGTTTCAATAAGCTACCTTTGGGTCCATCAGTCCAGACAATTTTTCGTGGGGGTTGGAGTGGTGCTGGGACATATTCAGGATCCAAATTAAGAGCTCCAAAAGCACCATGCTATTCACAACATACCTTGAAGCATGGCTGGAATAAAGGTAAGTGCCCCCTTGTTTTGTTTCACCTGTATATCTTAAACTCATTAAAAAGAAATTATAACTCTGTCCAGTGTTGATTTGCTTTAAAATTAGGTCCATGTGCCCTTGCTGTTATGAACTTTAAGTTGTAAACAATGCTCCCTGTGGCTTGTGGTTTCATTTTGATCAACATATTTTGATCACAATCTTTGTCCAGGCTTAACTTCATCAAAACCATATCAGAACAATGTGTGCTCAGTGGTGAAATTAAGATAGTGCAGCTTGGCTAATTATTCAAAAAATGGAAGCCATTTTGAGAAAGAATGGTGTCTGGACTGGCCAGTGAATTGAAGTAGCACATACAATCTAAACATCAGTACAGATCAGGTCTGTACAACCTGTGTAAACTAGCTGTGCTACACTTCCTAGCAAGATGTGTTGCCTTCTAGTTCTGTGTTGTTTTTGTTGAGGGTGGGAAGGACTCTTTTTCGTGTGATCTTGTAACACTCACATTTCCAGTTCACTGATGTAGTCTCAAAATCCCTAGCCAAACCTAGAGACATGCTCACTCCCTAAAGCTGGCCAGCTGATCTGGAGCATAAAGGTGTGGTCTGAACACTGCCTCACTCCCAGCAGGCAAAAAGTAGTCCCAGGGGTTGTGCCCAGCTCATGAGTCATGTTGTGCTGGTTTGCAAAGAGTTACATATCTAACCTATACACAGAATCATTAAGCCTGGAAGAAACCTCTGAGATCATCTAGTCCAACTGTCCACCTACCACCAGTGTCACCCATTAAACCACATCCAACCTTTCCTTAAACACCCCCAGGGATGCTAATGCCGCCACATCCCTGGGCAACCCATTCCAATGCCTAAGTACTCTTTCTGAGAATAAATTTCTCTTCCAACCTGAACCTTACCTGGTGCAACTTGAGGCTATTCCCTCTTGTCCTATTGCTATTGTCTGGGAGAAGAGGCTGACCCTCCCTGCTCTTTGTTGCAGTGCACAAAACCAGGAGACTGAGTGTCATGGTGTCAATAATATCAGATGGCTCCTTCTCACGTAGTTGTTAATGTGCCATGCATTGTTGGAACTGATCTTCTGAATTGCTATACTTTAAAGTATCTGTGCCTTTGCTACTTCTGCTGTTTGGTGTCATGGACAAAACATGGTTTAAATGTGCACAAATGCTTTATTGAAAGATATTTAAATTTTATTTATTAAATAAGATAATTATTTAAGATCACCCATCTAGTTGACCAAGGGAAACCAGCTGATGTGATCTTTTTGGACTTCAGCAAGGCTTTTGACATGGTTTCCCATAGGATCCTACTGGACAAAACGTCCAGTGTATAAAAACATCATACATGTATGATGGGTGAGCAATTGGCTGATGGGCAGGGCTCAAAGGGCTGTAGTAAATGGGGCCACATCTGGCTGGTGGATGGTCACTAGTGGGGTCCCTCAAGGCTCCATGTTAGGGCCAGTCCTCTTCAATGTTTTTATAAATGATTTGGATGTAAGACTAGGAGGTGTTTTGAGCAAATTTGCCGACAACACCAAACTTGGAGGAGCTGTGGACTCAGATGAGGGTGGAAAGGCCTTGCAGAGAGATCACCAACCACATGAAGTTTAACAGAGGCAAGTGCTGGGTCCTGCACCTGGGATGGGGTAACCCTGGCTATCAGTACAGATTGGGTGACAAGATGCTGGAGAGCAGCCCTGCAGAGAGGGATCTGGGGGTTGTGGTAGACAGCAAGTTGAATGTGAGCCAGCAGTGTGCCCTGGCAGCCAGGAGGGCCAACCGTACCCTGGGGTGCATCAAGCACAGCATCACTAGTTGGTTGAGGGAGGTGATTGTCCCACTCTGCTCTGCGCTGGTGTGGCCTCACCGCGAGTACTGTGTGCAGTTCTGGGCACCACAGTCCAAGAAGGACATTAAACAGTTGGAGAGTGTCCAGAGGAGGGCAATGAAGATGGTGGAGGGCCTTGAGGGGAAGACATATGAGGAGTGGCTGAGGACGCTGGGCCTGTTCAGCCTGCAGAAGAAGAGGCTGAGGGGGGACCTCATCGTGGTCTACAACTTCCTTGCGAAGGGGAGTGGAGAGGCAGGTGACCTATTCTCTGTAAACACCAGTGATAGGACCCATCGGAATGGTGTTAAGCTGAGGCAGTGAAAGTTTAGGCTTGACATCAGAAAGAGGCTCTTCACTGAGAGGGTGGTCACACACTGGAACAGGCTCCCCAGGGAAGTAGTCACTGCACCAAGCCTGTCTGAATTTAAAAAGAGATTGGACTGTGCACTTAGTAACATGGTCTTAACTTTTGGGCAGACCTGTGCGGAGCCAGGAGTTGGACTTGATGATCCTTATGGGTCCCTTCCAACTTGGGATATTCTATGATTCTATGAAATGTATAGTTAGAAAACCAAGCTCTGCTTCCCTATCAACTTACTTCATCCTAATGATTTGTAACTCTCAGATTTGATGATGGGGAAGCCTTACCTGTACTGCTATTAACTGTCTTATATCTTAAACCTTCATCTTTCTATATGTTCTAGGCTTTGCTCTGGCCTTTGCTGAGGTTTCCATGCACTGGTCAAAGAAGTAGGTTGCATGCCTGGTAGCTATTATCAGCAGTGAGTGTTTGTTTCAGCTGGGGAGTAACCAAATGATAGCAGGGAAGGCATAAAACACTTCACTTTAGAATCGGACTAGAACATCAGCTGTTGTTTAATGGACCTAGCTTTCCTTTGAAGTGGTAGAGGGCCCAGCTCTGAAGTAACTGCTGGGGTTGGAAGCCTTGGCTTGAAGAGGAGCATTAATGGGGAAGTATGGAGGGTTTGTTCGTTCTAACTGCTAAACAACTATTTACAACCTTATATGTACATAAGGGATGTAGGTTTCACAGAATAGGCAACTCAATTGTGCCTGCTCACATGAGTTCAGTCTAGTGTTTCATCTGGTCCCCTTGCAATGTTTTCTCTTGGAAGATGGAGAACTGCAGATCCCAGGAGCTGTCATGAGTGGGTCCCTTCACAAAACTTGTCCTGGTCATAGGACAAATAAAAGTTGCACTTAGAGCCTTCATACTTGTGATAATTATTTTTTTTCCTGATTTTTTTCAGAACGTCCTTGTTTTCCAGGCTTCCAATATGAACAGCTCCTTAGCATCCTTTACTTTTTTTCATAGACCTACCAAATAATTGTTGCAGTGGCCAAAATGTCTCTTCATGTCCTCACCTGCCCATCTTCTCCAAAAGTCCAGTTGGAGATGCATCTTGTGTTCTATTAATTTTTTTGTAGCTGTGCACCAGCTTTGAATTCTGACACGGGCTTTCCACAGTTCTTCAGCTATTTGAATGCTATTGTCCCTCTTAGAAGTGTAAGGCCCTTCTCAAGCCTCATGCTCTTTCCTAGCCTTTGTGCTCTTGCTTGTCCTTTCTCTGAACTTCCCTTTGTCCAGACATATGTACTTGTGTTGAAAATTCCCCAGCAACACTTTCCTCACTAAATGTTGCTGTCTCCCTTGTAATTTCCTCCAGCCTCTCCTGTCACACGTTCTTAGTTCCCTGGCTTTTCTTATCACTTCAGTTACTCTAAACATTCAAGTTTCTTTGGGTGTTCTGTACAGTCTCATAACTTTTTCCAGCAGTGTGTAGAGTCTCCTCTCATCCTGTTATCCCCTGGTTTTCTCTTGCACCCTCGTGTTCTCAAACCCTTCTTGCTGGACAGGCTGAAGCATTGTTCCTCTTCTTCCAATACTACTTTCAATTTCCCTGTACTTGGCCCTGGAGTCTTCTTCTTTGGAGATATCCAAGACCTACTTGTATGTTTTACTGCTCAGCCTACTTTAGGGAACTTGTTTTATCAGTGGGGTTGGACTCTGTCTCCAGAGGTCCCTTCCAAACTCTATGATTCTGTGAAAAATCACAAAATGATTTTTTCCCTTGCACTTTCCTTCCCCTTCAGGCGCTTGTATTCCTTCATCTGTACCTCCCCTGTGATGACAGATACTCCCAGCCTAAAAAGATAACTTGCCTTTCTTCAGCATCCTGTGGCCTGAAGTTGTTCCTTGTGTTTTCCATGTTCTTCAAATAACTGTACTGTGCTGCTAACATTTGTGACTAATGACTTGACTTTCTCCTGTTGTACAAATTCACTACACTGAATGCTCAGACCTTTTCCCATCACTGACCTATGAATCACTCTGAATGCATGCTTTCCTCCCTTTTCTCTAGTATTTCTCATATTCTGTGAAACACTCCCATTTTCTGCACTCACATTCCAGTACTACTTGATTTGCCTCTGGTTTAGCCAAACTCACTGCACATCTGTTGAGCTGGTAATTGGTGTTGTTGCCTGCTTAGAGCAAGTATAGGGATGTTCCTGGGAGGATTACCTGATCTCTCCCCAATGGCAATTTTTGTGTTGATCCTTAAGACAAGGTAGGGCTAATCTAATTACCAACCAGTATAACAACTTCATGTTTGTACAGGCTTTTAGTTCTGGATTTACAGCTACCCAATATGGGGCAATCACTTTCTTTGAGTTCATCAGTCAAAACAGATGTTTTAAATTTTACTGCTTTTATAGAAGAGAGAATATGGTGCAAGCTTCCTCTAGGGAATGCATCACTTTCTTCTATAGCAATATTTCTTTAAGAAGTTGAGGAGAATTTAAATATGCTTCCAGTAGTTATGCTTCTGATTAATCTTCCTTTAGTTAACTAAATTATGCATGATGCAGTGGGTTGCATCAATTTTATGGTTATCACAAGGTACTGTGTAATGCGAGGAATCATGCCTTAATCTCTGCGTATTCCAGAAAGATCAGGCTCAGTGTATGAATCTCTGTACATTTATGATATACAGAGATTGTTTTGTGTTGCATCTGATCTTTTTCTCTCCTTAATTTGGAAGTGGCTTTGTGTGTCCAGTGTCACATTTTTGCTCATCCATATGCTAGTGACTTGCTAAGGCATCAGTCTGTAATGCTGAATTCACAACCAAGAACCGGGCTGCACATGCAATATTCTAAATCCTTGTTACCTTTTTCTAGGTTTAGATTGTTTTACTTGTCACCAAAATGCTGTTTTTGTCACTAGATCTAGTTTTTAACTTTGCCTCTTAGGCAGTGAGTGAGCTTTTACAGAACATGACTCCCTTCATTAAAGCAACTTTGGAATTTCATTCTTTCATTACTCTTTTATTTTGTTTACATCCTTCTGTGAGCATGGAGTGGATTTTTTTTTACATTTGAAGAAATGATTTTTTAAATTATTTGTTGAACAGAGTATAGCATTCATGTCTGTGAGGAAGAAAATCACTGCTGGGATGTGGGAAGTTCGTTTAGGTAATCAAGGCAACAGCAGTATAACAGGCATTTAAAACATTTTTAACATTATCAAAAGGGAAAGTTAGGCAACAGTTTACATACCATAGTAAAACTCTCTAGGTTCCCAAGGGTGGTGCATCTACCTTAACTTTTAAAATACCTGAAGTTTTTCTTTTGTTACAATGAACTAGTGTCTAAATTCAAGAGTGTGTTTGCAGTATGATTGAGCACATGAGTCTTTGTCTAAACTATCTGCTTTAATTCTGCTAGCTGTGTTTGTGTCCAGTTGAGTGGATAATCCTGTTTAAGGACATTACCCTTGCTCTCTTGACACCACATAAAGTGCTGTGTAAACATCATTGCAGCAGAAGTTTTTTCTTAAAAAAAAAAAAGAAAAGAAGAAAAGATAAACTTACTGCAAGAAATAAGATGTATGCTGTTATCCTAAGATGCCCAAATAGTTCTTTAGAAGAGGACTGTCTCCTGTTTAGAGGTAACCTTTGCCCTGGCCTTGATTATCTATTTGGTCCCTATAAGCATCTTAGATTAAAGCCTGCAGCACTTCTCCTGTGATTCATAATCCTCAGCAGAGGATGAGGGCCTCCTCTGGGCCAAGCAAATATAAAGATCAATTCAATCTGAACCCTCTGGCATATGATCAAATGGCTGGATGTACGTGTATATGGTATATCACAAGGAGGGAGACTACTATACAGCTGAGATCTAACAGTGCTATTTGGGCTGTTTAAAAAGGGAGAGCTTATTCTGCTCTCCCTTTTTGTCCTGACCTGGGAGCAGCTAAAACCATCAACCACCTCTCTTGGGTGTTGATCATATGGATTGAGATTGTGGCTGTCAGCTCTCTCAGGGCTGTACAAGCAGCTCCTCCTCTGGGAGAAGAGAGGATGGGCAGCATGGTCTTGGGATCAGAACTGGCCATTAAAAATCAGGAAACTGCAACCAGTTTTCAACCTTAGGGAAAGCTTAAGGAGGCTCAGCCTGTTGAAAGTGTTATACCTGTGCTGAGACTCCATTTCTGTCCCTTGCCATACTCCAGAGAAGGCCAGTCACATGTGCTAAACCTCTTTTAATGAACAGCAGATGAGAGATATGGCAGCATCCTTGTTGCAGGGAAAAGAAAGCATGCATGTACGTGTAGGTGTGCACATGGAAGGACCGTAAGTAAACCAAATTAACATCTCGCCCATACAAACACTGGATTGACTGTCATCCCTGGTGATCCCCAGAGCAATAGTAATTTATGTGACTGAAGAATTATCGTACAATAGTGAAAGCAATTAACATAGGCCAACCACAGTGCAGTCCTCTGCTCTGATCCAGGCAGGGCATCCCAAAGAGAAAGGTCCCACAGAGAGACTGCAGCCTCTAGTCTGATTGCCACCTATCTGAACTGTGGAATAAACCACTACATTACCACTACCTTATTCATGTCCCACCTCGCCATCCCTGCTGGGACCGTGTGGTTCCAGGCTGTTGTAAGAAGGCAGCATGGTCACTACAGCCTCGACGGTGAAGCGATGCGGAGCACTGAGTCCTGATGCCTCGTCTTGGAAGGCAGCATTGTCGTGGCTGTTTGGAGGGGGTGCTGGGGGCGAGTGCCGCTGCCGGGAGCGGAACCAGCGGAAGGACAGGATAAAGGTGATGGCAATGAAATCCAGAATTAGCTCGGCAAGCTCCATCACGGACAGGACAGAGGATCCAAACCACAGACTCCACTGATTCCCCAGCTGGGACAACAGAGTTACTACCTGCAAGAGACAGAATGGGCAGTGAGGAGATTGCTTGTTGGAGCTTTTTGCATCCCTGCTTGCTCCCACTGGTAGTATCCTGATGCAACTTGTTGGGGTTCTTCCCATCTTGCCACAAGAGGAGATTTTTGAGCCAGCAATGCTGCTGGAATGAACGCCTGCCCCTACAGAGGGACATCGTGGTGCAGTGGGTGGATTTGATAGTAAATAAAATATGTACCGTGTAGGCCGGTGACTCCCCGTTGGTCTTGTAGTTCCATTCCTCAAAAAATATATTCACTTTGGCAACTCCATTCCTGTTAAGGGAAGATGGGGGTGAACAACCCTAAATCTGCAGTCCTTACATTTCTTCTTTAAGCTTATTTTCTCTGTCCCCGTCCAGCCCCTGTCCTCATGCATGTACCACCCAGAAGCTTTTCTCCATCTCTGCTCTCCTTGTGCATGAAAAACAATCTTTGATACTTATACTGCACTTCTGAAACTGCACTGCAAACTAGCATTTGTGTTGTCCTAAGTCCTTCCCGGTCTTCCACTAGCCCTTATTGTGACATGTGTAAGCCACATGGCAGCAGCCTGAGGCTTACTATTTTCATACTAGATCATGTTCAGACTCTTCACTTGGATTCCCAGTCTTTGGCAAATTCTCAGTTTATCTCCACTGTTTTAAATCCACTGGCCTTGTCCACAGGTCCATGCAATATCTCTTCCTATCAGCCATTAAATTTAAACTATGACCTCCCTACCCACCCCCCGTCTACTAGGGCTACTTCTGCTTTTGATAAAACCTCCGTTAAGGTTAAGGGTCTCTCACCTCTTGGATGTGATATTGTATTTGTTCTGTTGTGAAAGCATGTAAAAAACCCAATCCTGAAATGAAAGTGCAATAAATTGTGTTATACGACCCCAGTCACCTCTTGTAGGTTTAGAACCAGTTGAGGAAGGACTAAACTGGAGTTCAGAGCAGTGCTGCAGAGCCAGGAAACCATCTCCTTACCTCTGAGACAGCAGAAGGCCAGCGAGAGTATCCAGCTGAGAGCTGGTATTCTGTCATTCTGTAAAACAAGACACTCTGTTAGCTGTTGAAGCTGTGAGAGCCACAAGGCAAGGTCTCTCAATGCCTATTCACACCTGGAAGCTCCCTCCCATATTGAAATTCTGCCCACTTCCCACAGAGCTTCTGCACAGTCCTCAGGAGCTCACCCCAGAGCTGACACTGATGCTCCTCAGCCATTTCGGCTTCCTGATGGGAGAAATATCATTTAGGTTTGCACTTCAGCTATTGACTCAATCTTTTGCCCTCATCAGTGAATGCTTTCCAACACACACCCCTGGGAGTACAGAGTTGCCAGTCTAACTGAAGAACTTACTTGCAAGGCTTCCGACACTTGTGGAAGCAGCCCAGCACATCTGCTTTGAATTCAGCCAGGAGTTTGTAATAGCAGTAGCCTGAGCAGCAGAGAAAGTAAATCCAGGTAAGTTCACAATACATATATTAAAAAAAAAAAGAAAAAGAAAAAGTATTGTGCAACAGCAAGGGGAATCCAAAGAAAGCTTCGCTCCACAGCCTCAGAGGGACTAACCATCCAAGAGAAGAGTGTCTTTTGGATGTCCCACACCAGAAAGTCGGGAAGCTCATTGCATACAATGAAGAGAGTTACCGGGACATGAGGTGAAGCAAACAGGTTCAGGTGTGTGTGTGAGGTTTACTATATAATTCCTCCTGTCCCTTGAGTACTTACCCCAGGCTACGTGCTTAGTGTAGTCACAGTATTCTGCTCCAGCGGGTAAGGGGTAGAAATAATACGCACAGCTACAGCGGTTTACCATGTTGAGCTGAAAGCAGGAACGAATGCAGACCTGGAAGGCAGGTGATGTGGAAAAAGTTGAACAAGGAAACCAAAGCCGCTGTAGCCTGGATCACATCATCCTATTAACAGTGCCCATGGACAAGTGTGCCTGTTACAGGACTGAAGCATCCCAGGAATATGGGGAAATGAGATGGCGTGGAAGCAGTGATCAAGCATTACCTGCTCAGTGTAGCGGGATGAGTACAGGTTTTGCACTGGCACATCACTGCCATCCTCTGTGCAATCGCTGTAACTGCCCCCCAGACGCACAGTCATCTCCTAGAACATCAAATAGTCATTTCACAAAACTGCTTTGCTGTCCTCCTTCTACACTTTCATGCTTGTTCATCAGAACCCGCCTCCTTATGCCTAGTTGTGGATGCCGACACCTCCTGCTTTCCTCCATTTCATTGTCCTCCCATAAAATGCAACCAAATGCTCTCATCTAGTCCAGTAAACTGCTGTTCTTCCCCTCCCTTCACCCCAGGTGATTAATCCCCTCCCTTAAACACACAGAGTCCCTGACAACCCATCTCCATCTATCCAAGTTAAACCTCCCACACCAAAGCCCGTACCCTCACATCCACAGCTCTCATCCCTGCTGCTGCCTCCTCACCTTTCTCATGCTGATGGAGGTCTCAATGCCCGGACGCACGTTGAAGCCCCCATCATCCATGAAGGCTGGCTCATTCTGATCGTGGACCATGACCCTGGCTCCTGTCACCGTGGACAGCAGAGGGATGAAATCGTTCTGCTCTGTGCGCACCACCAGAGAGAGACCTGAGGACATGTCAAAGAACATGGGAGGTCATCATGTGGGAAAGGAGAGAGCAGAAATATTAAATCTGTGTCAGTAAGAGGTAAAGGAAGAGAAACATCACCCTGGACTGAACCTAAGCTGGGCAGAAATGGGAGGGTGGCTGGAGAGAGGCCAGAGACAGGGCTGGAGGATCCAGGAGAGGCCAGAGGAAACTGGATTTCTTAATTATGGCTTAGAAAAAGCAAACCTGGGAAGGCAGAGAGAGATTTAGAGTTAGACAAAGGAAAAAGATTGAGGATTGGCCCTAGAGTGGCTTAATGGAGGCTAGGAACACATACAGGTCAGCTGCTGGAACTGGTAAATGGGGAAGGAGGAGATCAAGGCTAAGTTCTTAGATCTCAATAAAGAACTTCAGTATGGGCCAGCGCAAGTCCAGAGAAAGCAATGAATGTAAGGATCAAGCACTAAAGGGGGAAAGAGACTCCAGTGGGGCAGCAGTGAAGGGCAGCCGTGTCCCAGACATGCCACCACCAAGGTAAGCAAAGCTGGTTGTTCATAACCCCTCCAGCCTGCCAGGCAACCTGCCATGGGGAAAACAGCCAAATTGTGCCACCAAAAAGTGCCTCTCACCGTTATTGATCCCAGGCAGAGAGGACGTCCACAGGCTGCTGCTGTTGTCGTTGAAGGTGTAGCAGTTCCCATACAAGGGATGGTGGAAGTGGGTATAATTCCTGTGATGGGAACAGAAATACTCACGGGTTGAGAAGGGCTGCGAGACCTGAAAGGAACAATTCTCTTTTCTACCTGCACAAAGAGGGGCTTAGAGCAGACGAGCAGTGTTTGTTATGTAAACTAACCTGAACAGGAAAAAACAATCAAAATATGTTGTAGAAAATGTCCTTGAGCTGGACAGGCTTTTACAATGGGTTTTTTATATCATGAGCACTCATTAGCCCAGATGGATTTTAGCAGTACTAGCAATTACTGTATTAATACTGACAAAGCTCTTATCTGTCTGTACTCCTTTTCTTCCCTTGCTGATGGGTTTCATTTCACTGCCTCTTTGGGGCTTCTGAACCATAATGGCATCAGGAGAAAAGTGTGATATTGTTTTTACCGTCTTTGAGTAAAAATTTTCTCTTCTCCTCCTCCTGCATGTGGTCTGAAACAAACCACTCCACCACTGCACATCACCCTCAGCACGGATACCAGACTCCTAGATTGTACATCTGGGGTTTGTGCCAGTATAGTTTGTGTGAAATCCAGGAGAAAAAGAAGAGAAACCATCCTCTGAAGTCCATAGCTTCAGGTAACAGTGACTGTGACTCTGGTGAGCACAACCCACAAGAAAGACTCAAGAGTCTTAGCACTTGAGGCAACGGGACCTGAACAAAGACAATCCCACCGTGGGAAAGAAGTTCTCTATCTGGGTTTCTTGCATTCCTTGGACCCAGGCACAAAATCCAGGTGTCCTTAGGAATACACAGTGGGATGTTTCCACCACTTACGCCTTGTCACAGGTTGCTTCATTGAAGCGGCAGGCATAAATGAAATTCTCGAAGTCAGACTCATCCAGGGCTTTCGCATCAGGCACCTGCGCCAGGATGTTGATGTAGTGAAAGCTGTACCATTCCCGCACTGCATCCACCCCTGAGGAGTACACCTGATGGAAACAGTCCTTGTTGTTTTCACTACACTGTAAAAAGAGAAGGAAAAAAAACACAAAACAAAACACAAACAGCTGTGTCAGGGAAGTCTTGTCCATGAGAAAGCAGCTGTGCTCCCTCAGCACAGCTGGGAAATGGAGCAGAAGAGCTCTGTAGGGCTGCTGTGCTCAATAAAAAGGCAACCGATAGCATGGGGAAAAGCAATCCCAGGGCAGCTCCTCGGTGGAATTTAAACACCAGGTCAATGGGCACGGCTGAGTGAGAGACAGCAAGTTGTAGTGAGTTATGAATCTACTGCACTTAAAACCTATGTGTTATAAAACCAGAAGCTTTAAATTCTAGCATGGGGAGTCCTTCCTTCAGGGTGTGTCCAGAGAAACAGGTGATCCCCTGAGAGCTCCAGACAACTGGCAAGCAATTAGCTTCAGTCCTTCAGTGCCTTTTAAAATGCAAACACAGATACCCTAGGGTGAAGGAGATGCTGCCCAGGAGCAAATACAACCTGACCACATTTCGCATGGCCCACAGCCATACAATACTGTCCCCTTGACTACTATTGAGCAACACTGTGGTTGATGCTAATAAATGGCTCTAAAAGACGGATGTAGCCTTCAGGAAGGACAAAGTTTCCCTGCCTTACCTAGGAAAAGATGGGCAAGTCTCCTGTGACCCACATGACCAGGGACAGGACTCAGGGAGCAGCAATATGTTTAGCAAAGGTTTCAGCTCTACCTTTATTTGTCATTAACAAAAGCTGGTAACAAAAGCCCGTCTGTATGGGGAAGGGCACGACCAAGCGTCTAACAAGACAGAAGTGCCTAGACAGAGACTGGCGTGGGCAGGACAGAAGGTATCTTGGGATCTCACCAGAATAAAGCCAATTTTCCAGTCATTCTTGTCCACGGAGGGGCTGTTCTCTGGGAAGCTGATCAAGTTATCACGCTTCTGCCTTCTCAGCGGGTGGCGCTGGACGTGATGGAGCAGGCTCCTTGAGGTGCGCTTCCGTGTGGATGCCGTTGACCAGTCACTCCGTGCCAGAGACATGTTGTAGTCATAAAGGTCCAGCAGCGTTTGGTGGGTGATTTGGTCCAGCTCATCCAGCTTCTTCCGGATGGCACTGTATCTATACAAGGGGGAGAGAGGAGCCTGCAGGTTTAGGGCTGGACACACACAAACAGCTCTGAGTATGACGTGTGGCAAGCAAAAGTTTGCTGTGGTGATTCGGGTCACTCCTGCTGACAGCTGAAAATCCATCACCTTTGCTGGAGGCCACCATTCCTTCTAGGAGATAAGGAAATGCATCTGCTTCTGCCCTGTGGCAGTTTACAGTGCAGCCACTAACACACAGCACTAAGTCGAGCACCTTAAACTAACACAATTTACCGTGAATGCCCTGCAGCAGCAGAGACCTAGAGAAGTGTCCCTTCCACCTGCACTCCTACTGAAGGGGACACTCAAGGACCAGGAGGAGAATAAGAGTACATGCTTTTATCCCACACCCACAAAAGTAGAGGCAGTTGACAGCCCTGGTGGACTATTTCCTACCTGTATGGATTGAGGGTGCAAAGCGTCACAGCAGGGAAAGTCAGCCTGTCGGAGTTAAGGTTGAGGTTGAGGTTGACAGGGTAGCTGAAGTACTCCCTGTAGAGGATCCCAAACTGCCAGTACAGCAAGCCGAAGGTGAGAAAGAAGAGAACGGACCAGAAGGCTGTCTTCATCTTATTCTTTTTGGAGCACACCAGGCGGATAGCGCCGTGGATGGTCGTGTTGCTGCAGAAGAACTGGAAGAGCTCCTGGTAGGAGCCGTAGAACTCGATGAGACCCTCCCGCTCATCTTCTTTGTGCTGCTGCTCCGCTTCCTGCTTGCACTGCCTCGTCTTCTCCCCTTCTGGCATCTTCCCCGTCTTCACAGACCCACCCTGCAGCACAAAGGAAGCCCGAGCTGGTGGTACCCCTGCAAGACAACGCCGGGAAGCCACGCTCTGTGCCAAACCCAGCTCCGCATCCCCACCTGCCCCAACCCTCGCTGCTTTCCCCCCCTCCTCCCCGACCCCACCAGGGCTGCGGGTCCCCAGCCCCGCACCCCGCAGACGGTCCCCCCGTCCCCGCCCGCAGCCCCCCGGCACCTGCGGCGCCGTGCCCATGGCGGGGCCGTCCCGCACCGACGGCGGGGGCTGGGACCGGGGCCGGGGCCGGGTTTGGGACCGGGACCGGGGCCGGGGCCGGGTCTCTCTCCCCCAGCGCTGCCGCCCGGCGCTGCCGGCTCGCCCGCAGCCTCCCCGGCTGGGCTGGGACTGGTTCCTTTCCAGTTGGAGCCGGCACCCCGCCCGGCTCCTGCCCTGCCAGCCTCTCCCCGCCCACCCTTCCTTCCCCTTCCCCCCCCTGCGCCGCTCCCGGGGAAGAAAAGCCTCTTTAAACTCTCAAGTGTCCGCGGCCGGCCCGAGGGGGTCACCTTGGCGGCGCCGTCGGGGGGCGAGGCGATGTCGCCGGGACCCCGCTGTGCCCGCAGGACCCCCCCGGCGCCCCCATTTCGGAGCCAGCAGCCTTGCCCCGGCCAGGTAGGGCGCAGGGAACGGCGTGTCCCCCCCCTCCCAGCTCCCCCCTCCCGCCGCCGTCGGGGACACGGCGTCCCGGCGAGGGGAGGTGATGCAGAAAGCGAGCTGGCAGCGCTCGTCCCGAGGGCGTGGGGACGGCAGGAGGCAGGAGGCAGGGCCCCCGTGCAGAGGGGGGGGCGGCAGGACCGTGTCTGGGGAGAGGGGAGCGAGGAGCGAGGGCCCGGCCCGTCGGGGCTCCGCGGTGGTCCTCGAGGGGGGCCCCGCCGCACCGCCGGGCTCCTCCGTCGCATCAGCGCCCCGGGGCTCGTGCGAGGCTCTAAGCGCCGGATTTCGCAAAGCAAAGGTGGATAGAGAGTTTGGGGTGAGTTTTGCTCGAGGGCTGGGGCGGAGAAGGATCGCGGGGGCTAGGCGATACGCTCGAGGTAGCATCGCCTTTGCCGGTTCATTGACTGAAGAAATCTCCCGCATCCAGATCGAGCTGGCCCAGCCACTGCTGGCAACGTGTTTCACTGAGCTGTGTGTGGGAAACTGAGGCCTCTCGTTGTTACCTAACACCTTTGCAGCGTTTCCTCAGACCATGGAAATGACCACCTGTAACCAAATGTGCTTGGGAATCCCTCACTGCCTTTGTAGCAGCGGAACCACTTTCCCAATAATTTCTCCAAATTACATTCTCCCAGTTTAGCACAGTTTTTAAGTTTTCACTTCTTTCTTTCCTTTCTTCAGATCAGTCCTTGTTCCAATTCATCTCTCACAGTTCCCGAATCTTGATCCTCATTGGAATGAGCAGCACTTTGGTTAGTGACACAGCCACTTAGACCTCTCCACGCTGCAAAATACCAGGCTTGAAAACGGCATGGAGTACACTTCTGAGCCTGGCATAAGTGACAGCATGCCAGGAGCAACCTCGTGACAGCTTCTCCTTACAAACCTACAACCACTGCTAAGAGCTTTCCCCTAGCTCCGTCAGGTGTCAAAAAAAAAACAAAAGCATATTTTATTTTTTTCTGCCACTGTAAACGTTGTTATACCAAGCAATTTGTTTTGAACTTTTATCATTAGGAAAATTAGTTGCAAAGAGTGGGAGGGATGGGGGGAAAAGAACAAATATTGTTCTCAAATGCCTATTACAAAACAGCTTCCTCAGAGCGTTAGAAACACCTTTCTGGATCAGGCTGATGGTCTGTTCTGCTCTATATCCCACCTCTAGCAGTGCCAGTAGGTGATGACATTTAGGAGGATGTGAGCTCTTCTCTCTTGTGCCGTTTGTGTGCTTTATGTACTCAGATACACAGGGATAGTCCCCAGAAGTGCACATCAGCATTTTGATTCAGCTTTGTACACTCCCTTAAAATATGTGAACAAATACAGACATGTAACAATTACAGAACATCAGCAGGTAAATCACCAGCGTAACCTCAGGTGCTATAATCCAGTAGCCTCATAGAGTGTTTATAACTTGTTTGGTTTGCGTTATCATCATTTCCTGAAATTATGCTCATTTACACTAACGGACCATCCTCTAAAACTGCATCAGTCTTTTTGGAATCGTGCCATAAATACAAAACAAACAAACAAAAAAAATGTAAAAAAATGCCTCTGAAATGCCCATTTTATGCTAATTTAAGTTAGTGGCACTCACAAAACAACTACAGCCCAGTTTGGCAGAGCTGATAACTGGGCATTCTGTGATTTCCGCAGTAGTTAAAAGCATTTTAAACTATATTCGGCTGATCATTGCAATTGAGTTCAGAAACACAGGACAGGAAGTCCAGAAACTTTTTGCTGGCTGTGAAGGAAAGGTAAGTGACATTTAAAAAATTTCTTTTGGCTTGAAGAAAAATTAAAAATTGAAACATCTGGACTGATTTGGTGTCTCAAATGACAGCCTAAAGCAGTTTTATCTGTCATAGCATACAATCTCCATCATCAGGTTTCTTGGGAGAACTTTTGTCCTTTGCCAGTTTGGACAAAAATAACAACTAATTAGAGCGTGGGTGTATGTGTTGTATGTTTTATATGTATATATGCATAAATCACATACATCATGTATCTGTGTTTCTCAATATACACATACACATCTAGATACACTTATTTTTCAGGAGGCTTTTTCACATATTTTATTTTTTTTTATTCTAAAGAATTAAAAAACAACATTTGTTAGCTCTTCCATAATTTCCAGTTGCTCTTAGCCATGATTGAAGCAATTCCTCTTCCCCTGTCTCATGCTGGTGAGAAGCTCTGGTTGCCAGATGCTACCCGCTGCTGTGGCACACCTCAGAGCACTGCAGGAGGATTCACGCTCAGCAGTTACAGGATGAATGGTCCAAGTTTTCCTCTAGGATGAATGATCTTCCATCAGGCATTACAAATTCTTTCTGGAAATTTTAATTCATCACGTATACTTTACCAAAGTACTGAATCCAAGGAGCTTTATAATGAGAAGATCCTTTCCCTTCAGGTGTTTTACTCTAGGTTCTTCTCCGCTGAAATGGGAAGCACGCTGTTGTTGTGGACAGTGCTTCTGAATATCACATCCTCACAAGCTGAATACACGATTGCTTTTTATAGCTACTGAGAAACCTTTGAGTAAACATGAATCATTTTTTATAGCATCAAATCTGAAATGTTTCCTTATCAGGTGTGTCCCCTAGCTGCCCAGGTAAGAATGTGATAATGATCTGAAATGCACACAATGTTTTAAAATAAGACAAACTTTCTGTTATGCAATGCACTGCTACTGTGGTGGGAGAAAAAGAAAGGCTCTCTCTGAAGTACTTGGTCTACATCCACTTGATCTGGATTGCATCCATAACAAATTATACAGATTTTTGAACTACTTGAAAGACCTTTGAACATTTTAGTTCTTTTCTGTAAGTATATACACAACAATGTCACACAATGCTTTTCCTTCCATTGCATGGTAGAGGCGAGCAATTATTTCTAGATCATTTCTGCATTATCTACAGCTGATCATGTATTTCTGTATTAAAGCTAGTAACCCGAAATGTCAAGGAGTAGCAGCACAGATGATGCTATAAGTTTAACTGAAGCATCTGACCAAAGAAACACCAGCCTAGTAGCTGGTAAAGATGGTTAGATGTGAGGCTACACTTCGTACTGCTGTTGCTTTTCAGGAAGGAATTATTTACCCAGGATCCATGGACTCACTTGAAGCAGAAGAGAATCATTATTAAACAGCCAGCAGGGATTTGCCAACCAGTCTAGTGGGCTGTTGAGTGCCTTCTTCCTGGCTGCTAATTCAACTTTGCTAGCTGGTAGTGGTATCTGTTCCAAAAACTGCTAGTACCAAAGGCAGCAGGAGCATGTCCATGTACTCGCTCCCACACATTTGTGTCCCGAAGAGGCTCCTTTTCAGTGTGTTTATTCATTTCTACTTTCTAGGAACAGAGTGGTTACAGAGAGCAATTCTGTTGATGCAAAAGGTAGACTTGTGGGAAAAACTGAAGCAGTGAGCATTATGCCCTTCTCTCAGAATGAGAGGTGAGAGACTGTAGAGTAGAGATCATGGAATTAATATTGTAGGTCTGAGAAAATCTTTCTGGAAACTCCATGGAAGGAGGTGCATCTCTCTTCCTAGGAGGATGAAGTTAGCATGAGTGAACCCCAGAGGACCTGTGTGGATCCTCTTTCTTTGCTGAAGAGGCCTGGAGGAGAGATTATATAGGTGCTCGTACCCTGCCGTAGCTGACAAATCTGAATTAGCTGCTGAAATACTTAGCTCTCTCCCATCTGTGGTCTGTGTTGCAGGATGAGGGATATTGCCTCCTGCCAGCACTGCATCCATTTGGGTGCTGAAGCAGCTGAATCACCAGACCCTATGGTACCTTAGCCACACCGCTTTGTACGAGTCCAAGTCAGCTGCTGCCTTTGATGCTGGTGACCTGAAAATGACTGGGAAATGAAAATAGGACTTCAAGCTCTGCCTCTGCCACATATTTCCTAAACCCAGGGTTTTGTTTAGGCTGACTCAGCCAGACTGACAGCTCCTCAGATACGGACCTCAGTGTCAACCAATTGCAATAGGATCAAATGTGGAAAGGGCTGTATGAAAACTGCCTCCCACTGGCATAGCTAAGACTAACACCGGTCTGTGAGATCAAATCCAGTGACTTCCCTGTCTGCTGTGTCCTGAGAGGCCGTCAATGAGTGGGGAGATCAGGATGGAGATTCCCTGAGGTTTTTGCCCCATCGTTCTCCTGCTCAGCTGAGATCTTTGATTTCCTCATTCCAAACAGAACAATATAACTATTATAACAACCACCTGACTCCCCGGGCCTGCATCCCCACCCCTTTCATGATCTCTTCTGCCTGTTCCTGGAAACCTGAAGCAGACGCAGCCACCTCAGACCAGTTTTTCTTGACACCAGCTGTTCCTCAGCCAGCAAGGATCATGCTGTTGTGCCTAGTCACCATCTCAGCACAGCACAGCACCCGGCACGGTACAGCAGAGTTTTGCTTGCTAGACACAGATGCTATCTGCTGCCCACCTGCAGCTTTGCTTGAGCTGATGTTAAGGCAACCTAGTTTATGTTTAGCTCCAGTTTTGATGCTGCACCACATAATTCTCCAGGTGTCCTCCTCATCCACTTTTACTGCAGGGACTACATGTTGCTTCTGGTTCTGGTGATCCTCTCCTCCTTTAGAATATAAGCAGCTATGCCCCTCAGAAAGGGAATCCACAGGAAATTAAGTCTTTAATTAAAGAAGCACATCTGTAAATCTTTTGTTTCTT